CGGCCTGATGGCCTAATTCCACAGGTTTACGAATATCCACGGCACAGTTTTTTTTAATGTTCCACTCTAGGGTTAATTTGTCCAGCCAGACACAGAAAAAAAGTCAAAAAGAAGTAAACAGATTCTGAGGCTTTAAGCAACAACAGTGTAGTCAAGGTCACTCCTCCTGGGCTCCATGCCAAAAGACTTCAAATAGTCAAAACCATCTTTCATGTCCTCTGAAACCATTTTGTATAACTGATTTATGTCCACTAACTCTTTATGTACTTGGTCTATCTTCAATGGATCTTCCAGGCTTTTTTGTTGTTGTTGTTAATTTTGCTGTTTTTATCCCTTTGCCTTCCCTTAGTACTCTCCTCTGATCCAAGACTGACGTTTCTCTTAGATTAATTTCCTCCAGCTCTTGTTTTGATTGGCATACATCATCTGGAATACTCGCATTTCCTTCTTCGTTGTTCCCTGTTGTTTGCGGACTATAATTCTTCTGATGTTGATTGGATAGTTTTGTCTCTTGATAATGGGATCTCACTATTTCTAGTATTGTTTGAAGGGTAGCTTTTATTTCATCCCAAAATTGTCCTTGTTGTGCCATTCTGTTCCAGCTGCCCAAATGCTTATAAACAGACATTCAAAGTTTCCAGAGTCATTTCATCTTTTTGAAATAATTTTGTTGGCATTGATATCATCTTTAAAACATTTTATCTGCATTTTCTTTAACAGTTACTGGTTTTTAGTTTTATTTCAGGAGAGATGTCAACTCCGCATATTGTCTCCTTTTCTGTCTTATTTGCCACGGAATATGTTTCAAGATCTTAATTTCTTTGTCTTTTCTATTAGGTTCCTTGTATTCTCTATTTCTTAAGACTTTATCTCAAAAAATCTTTCTTGTAAATTTAACATGAATTACTATGGGGAGATTTTTAGTCCTGGTGTATGCTATATTAATTCTTCATGCTGTGTCTGTATTTTGTTGAACATCCTCCCGTCACATCTACATGAGTGATGCTAAATCAGTAGTAATCACTTGACTGTATCTTCTTCTTTTTGTTCTGGTAGATTTGGAATCTAAGTATGATTCTTCATGCTGTGTCTATATTTTGTTGAACCTCCTCCCGTCGCATCTCCATGAGTGATGCTAAATCGGTAGTAATCACTTGCACTGTATCTTCTCCTTTTTTTCTGGTAGATTCTGGAATCTAAGTATGACATTGGCTCTTTCCATTTGTAGATTTAACAAAGTAATTTCATCTTGCTTTCTTTCCTGTTTTAGCTCTCCCATATCTGTATACAAGGTCTCCAGCCTTGTTTCTGTTCTTTTTTCATGTCTCATCTATTCTGGCTATTTGTTTTTTATTTTCTGTTATTTGATTTTTAATATCAGTCACTTGCATCCCTAAATCTTTGGTTTGAACATAGCTGAGCCATCGCTCCTTGTAGTTGCTATAGCTCTGTTGACAACATATCTTGATTACTCTTTTGCCAGTCCTTAAATGAATCTTGCCTCAATATCCCCCTGAGATTCTCTTCCTGTGCTGGTGATCCTCCTTGAGTTCTCTTTTTTCCACAGTTTGTCACCATATTGATTACCCCCCCTCTTCTTAAGTTAAGTAAATAAAGGATGTTGTTTAAGTTTTCTGTCAGCAGCTGTTTTCTTTTTCTTTAATGAATGCTGTATAAATCTACTATCAGCAGATGTCGTGGTAACCTCACTTTCCTTTCTCAGTCTTATTTTCATATCCCATTCAAGAGGGGGGTGGAGCTTCCCTCAGGATTGAAAGTTCTCACAGTTGCCAAGTCACAACAATACAAATGTAAGGATCTGCAGTCTTTTGAAGTAAGTAGGATTTAATATTGATATTTCAGATAGTCACGGGAGTGAGGCTTTTATCTTAAATTGCTCTACTTTTGTGGCTAGGTAGTTTTCTCCTCCTTCTCGATTTCTCTCTCCTCTTGTTCTCCCGATTAGAGATGGGAGTATTCATATTCGTATACAAATACTAATATTCCCCCCGCAGGTGCAGATAATGAAGGTCCAGCCCCCAGGGGCCAGATTGACCACTCACAATTCCGCTGCTACCACGAGCTCCGCAGTGCCTTCCTATCTCTCTGTTGCTCGTGATGGATTAACCACTCTGCAACCTGGCAGAGAGACTCATCATCCCGCCTTCTGCCAGGAGTGGTTAATCCATCATGGTAGGCTCATTAAATCAATGGGGATTTGGTGGGCCACCTCCTCCATAAGCTCCATTTGTTTGAATGAGTCTACTCTAACTACTACTTACTATGCTAAAGTAAGTCACAATTAGAGTAGACCCATGTCAGACAAAGGAGTTGATTCACCAAACCCCCATTGATAAATCATTCTAGTATGATTAAGAGATCATCCCCAAGGCATATTAACATTAACATATTAAGCCACAGAATACCACCTGAGAAAATATAGAGGAGCTGCTAATCTTAAAGATAAGGAGATGAAGATAAACAAATAATTGTGCCCTAATTTCAGAAAACAGGTCACAGGGTAGAAGCCATGTGATCAAAAGGATGGCCAAAAGACTCTTGTTAGGAGCACTTTCAGGACAACTCTGCACATCCTGTTTGATATATGAGAAACAGCAATGTTATACCAAAACAAATCTGTAACATACAGATTTCATAGAGTTGTGTTTCTGTATCTTTCAAGATCTATGTATATGAGTCTGAGAACCCTAGCACAAAACCCTTGTTCTCATAAATGTGTGAAGCAGCCTTCTTCATGGGTAAATGATGGTCACTCTTCACAGGAGCCAGTAGTGTGTGGACACTGGTGCTTTAAGACAAAACCAGCTAATAAATGCACATCCAGAGAAAACAGAAACAAGCCCAGTTTCTTAAGGAGTGTAAAAAGTATGATATACACCTAAGGATATAAGTTAGCCTTCACTTGCTGTTCAACTTTCAATTTTCAAATGAAAAACATCCTAGGTTTGAACCTCTGAAAAAGGATCAGTCAGGTCTTTTTAAAAATATTCATCAACAAAGTATTGTTGTGAGCATTGCATTAAACAAAGTGTTGTTGTGAGCATTGCATTAAATTTAAATAGGGTACAGTTTTCTATAAGACTGCTTTTTGGAGTGGAAAGATGGTCTGCTGAACTGCAACCTACTCCACAATGATAGTTTTCTGTGCTAAGCAGTGTACAATCCATACCCTTCCTTTCAATTAGATCTGCAGACCAGGAGGAACTCTGTGGACCATCAGATCCAGCCCTTTTCAAGGAGGCAGCCAGAAATCTAAACCACTGAGCTATCCAACAGTTCTCTTTACCAAGAGATGGGTTTGGACAGAGATGGGCACAAAGCACTTTGAACAGTGCCGTCTAAGCCATCGGTGGGGCACCACAGGCACTGCACATTCACTTTTCCCACCCCACCTCTGCCACCTCTCCCAGTGACCTGTCAGTGCACACTGTTCCTCTCCTCCCCATCAGGGGATCTTCCTTTCCAGCAGGAGCACAAACTTCCCTTCTCTGCCTCCTCCAGCAGCTGCCCACTCAGGCAAGGAGGCGGGGCAGGAATTCCTACAGAACAGCCTATAAGTGCATGCCTGCTGGAAGAGTCTGTGTGCCAGCTGGAAAGGAAGATTGTGCAACGGGGAGGGAAGGAAGAGCACATACTGGCAACTCAGTGGGAGAGTTGGCCAGGGGTCAGCTGGCGAAGATGAATGTGCCATGCCAATGAGTTAGATGACATGGCATAAAGTGCTTCATGCCTGTCTCTACTTTGGATAAGGCAGTACTCCACACTGTGACCTGCCTGCTTTGAAAAAACTGCTGCAGTAGCATTATCAGCACCTCACCTCCTCTAGATCAGTGGTTCTCAAACTGGGGTCCCCAGATGTTCTTGGACTGCAATTCCCAGAAGCCTTCACCACTTACTGTGCTGGCCAGAATTTCTGGGTGTTGCAATCCAAGAACATCTGGGGGCCCAAGTTTGAGAACCACTGCTCTAGATAAAGGGATGTGGGTTCTGGGTGTGCATCCCTTCCTTTAACTGTATCTTCAAAGGTTTTGCTTCTATGTGTCCCAGAGGGACCGCAAAGCATGAAGGAACTTTGTCACATTATAGGAAAGTTCTGGCAAAAGATCTTTCTTTCAATACACTTCCTCATTTGGAGCCCAAACTATTTTGCCCTGTGCAACAAGTAAACATAACTTATTGTTAAACCTGAGCCTTTTAGCTACAGGGAGCCTCACTCGAATTTCAGGGGATTATGACTTCAGCAGAAAATAATCATACGAAGAAATTTGTGGCAGCCTATGGAATATTATCTAAGCTATATGATGTCGCCTCCTGGGCAAGACTGAACATCAAGTGCATTTTTTTTCTTTGTGGTTTCTTTTGCAATGTATGGAAGCTTCTCCCATTTCTCAGCGAACCATAGCCAATAGAGCAAGCAGAAAGGGACATGCTGATGGGTCACAAAGACTCAACCTGCCCGATTCTACTGTTACTTGTTCAAGTGGCAAGGCAACAGTTCTCATGGTTTTCAGTTTTGCATATTTTAAAGCAATGCATACAAATAGATGTTACTCGTGTGCAAAAGCTCTCAATAACTGAGAAAAAAAATCTCACTGTGGCACAACAAGGAGAAAATTCTTGTGTTGTTTGGTTTACTACATATGGAGAAGACATATCAGAATTTACATACCTAGTTGCCCTATTCCTTCCAGCCCTTATTTAGCACTGGTTCACAAAGCCATGCTTCAACCAGAACGGTTTATCACATCTCTGAAGATGGCCAAGGGAGTCTCCAAGGGACTGTGACTTAGTAGTATCACCTTCTAAATGCTGTCATCATTACTGCAACTTATCTTTTGATGAAGATCAACTTGTGGAGATCAAGGAAAGACTGCTGATTCACTGAGACAATAGGGCAATGGAATTTGAAATCTAGGATCTCTTCTACAGTATGTCAGTGGTTCCCAACCTTGGGTAACCCAGGTGTTCTTGGATGGCAACTCCCAGCACAGCTGTTGCTTAAGGTTTCTGGGAATTGCAGTCCAAGGTTGAGAACCACTGTTCTATGTGGATGTCCACTATGAGGAGACTAGGTGTCAGTGGAACCTACAATGGCATGGAAATCTATTTATGTTATTTTATTTATTTATTTATTTATTTTATTTGATTTATATCCCACTCATCTGGTAAATCTATACCACTCTGAGCGGCTAACAGGAACATGTATACAATTATAATAAAATAAATTAAAAATATCAATTAACAGAAAATGACAAAAATCATAAATAATCGTAAATAATAAATAGATAAAGAAGAGAAAAATAAATTAAGTTAGATTAGGTGCTGGCAGGAGGGAAGGCCTTGACATAGAGCCATGTTTTTAGTTGAGTTTTGAATGTACCCAGCGTAATTTTAAATTATTGTAAACATTTCCAGCTCCTCCTCATTTCCACACAAAAGTAGTGTTTTGCAAGTAACAACATTGCTCCTAAGCAGTTTGCATCTGCTTTCAAATAAACTGTCTGCATTTTTGCAAGACATTCATATTTTGGAAAAAAAATCCTAATAGTTTAGATTTAAAACTAGGACTGCATTGACACACTGCAACTTTTCATTTTAAAGAAGCTTGCTCTTTCTTCAGTAGGGCAAAACAATGCTGCTGTACATCTTGAATGAAATGAACTGGAGGAAGAAAAATCCATCCACTCTGTTGTCCTTTTATTGTATGTTCTCAGTTGCTATAATGGCAGCCACCAATTTAGAAAAAGAGTGGCAAAAGAGACAGCCATTTTGAATTTCTGAAATTTCAAAGAGCTGCCTCAGAACAGGGCTTTCCAGAGAGAAGAAAATGGTTGGGAGCATTTTGCTCCTTTTCCGCTCAAAGTTCTTTCTCATCATTTTTGAAATGCATTTGAAACAAATTCCACTGATTTTGAGGTAGGTGAAATGTCTAAACAATGGTTCTTCTCAATTTGATGCAGCTTTACGTTCAAATATCTGGATCTGAAACCAGCTGACTTGGCTACAAAACCAAGGAATACTGTTTTGCCATTTTATTAGGTCTTTCCTGTAGTGTCTTTGACATAATGATATGGTGCATCAGAAAAACAGTGTAGAAAACATACTGGCCTTTATTTGGCGGTGGTGGAGCACATCCACATCACCCCTTTCTTTGTTTCTTGGCTTAAAATCGCCCTCTACTGAAGTTGATGTTCCTTCAACAATGTCAGTCTTATGTTTTGCATATTTGTGTACAAAGTGTAGTTTGCCCCAAACCAAAGTTTCTTTATAGCCTTTCAGGATGCTTTTGACACCATTCGTATGCTTGCGGGAGAGAGCATCAGAGACCATGAGCTGTGCTCAGCTCTAAAGAAACTGGGAGTGAGTTTGAATGACAAGGAGTTCCAGGAATTACTGCAGACGGCAAATGTGGCAAGTAAGTATCACCAAGTCCTTCTAGTTGTTGTTGTTGGACTGATTGGGCAAGTGGGTGTTCTCATTTTGATTGCACTCTATTCATAGGCAGGATTCTCAATTTCTCTCTTGGTTTCTAGTGTCCATGCTCTTTTCTAAAGAACATATGTTGATTGCTGTTGTGTCTCTCTTAAGTCAGATCTGAAGGTCAGATCCTGTGCCCTATGGAAGCTGGCAACTCTGACTTCACTGGGCCAGGGGATCGTCTCTGGGTTTTAATCTGAACACTACAGACACTATCCAAGATTCTGAACCCTATGTGCAAAATTGATTCCAGACCTTAGATTACTCCTGTAACACTGGGACTAAAACCTCAAGTGCTTTCACTGCCCCTGCAGAATCAGAGTCATTAGCCTCTGCTACCTGTAGCTGAGGAGTGAACAACATACAACCAGTCAAGGTGGACTGTGCACATTTCACCCAAGGCCATTTTTGCCAATTGTGGTTTTCAAGGGAGTGCATATGCCGAGTGCAAAGTAGCAAAATCATATCTGGAAAGCTTCTGTCAGGCCCAGTGATTTAAAGAAGTGTCTTTGACTGTTCTGAGTCTTAAAAACATGGTTGTGAATTTACAACCCTCTTACTGCCAAGGGCCAATGGAAGTTGGTTACCAATAGTATCCAGATGGCCTCAAATTCCCCAGCCCTTCTCTGATGCATTAGATTATTCATATAAATATGAGTAAACAAGCATTCATTGTTATTCTTATTTGACATTACAGAAGACGGGAGAGTGAACCTCAACAGCTTCATTTTCACCTTGGAGAAGACCCAGTTCTCTGGATCAACAAGTAAGCAAAACAAGCTGTTCCTGGTTGGGAATGGGACATTTACAGATGACAAACAAAAAACAAAACCGAACAAAAACCTCTGCCAATTTCCCTCTCATTGTTAAAACTTGCATCAGTAGCACTATACAGTACAGTATATCCCAATGCCACATAGACTTCCATGTGGTGTTTCTGAAAGAGCACAGGGTATAGATGTTCATGCTGACACTGAGAGAGACTGCTTTGAAAGCAAAAATTAGAATGTTTCCTTTTTAAAAATAACTTATCAAAAAAAAATTTATTTATTTATTTATTCGTTCGTTCGTTCGTTCGTTCGTTCGTTCGTTCGTTCGTTCGTTCGTTCGTTCGTTCGTTCGTTCGTTCTATATCCTGCCCATCTAGACCGAAGTCTACTCTGGGCATTAGTCAAGAGATAGTCATGACATCTCAGGTTGGAACACTCAGGAGCCTCAGAAACTTGTGAGGTGGAAGGGAGAATAGGAAATGTAAAATTAAAGATTAATCTCTATGGCTATCAGCCTTCACACCTGTGGAGTTGCACAACAGGAGTTTAGCCAATGTATTTGGAGGCACATTGGAGAAGAGCCTCCTGGATGATCTTATGTCAGGGACAACCTGGTATTGTAAATGATGTACCTGCAATTATCTATCTATCTATCTATCTATCTATCTATCTATCTATCTATCTATCTATCTATCTATCTATCTATCTATCTATCTATCTGTCTGTCTGTCTGTCTGTCTGTCTGTCTGTCTGTCTGTCTGTCTGTCTATCTATCTATCTATCTATCTATCTATCTATCTATCTATCTATCTATCTATCTATCTATCTATCTATCTATCTATCTATCTATCTATCTATCTATCTATCTATCTATCTATCTGACTTATGTACCACTCATGTAGAACATGTCTACTCTGGGTGGTTTATACAAAAAACAAAAATACAGATATAATAAATGAAAACATAAATACATTAAAAGATGGGGCCTAATTTTACTACAAGATTAAAAAAAAATGACCAAAACACTCCTAAGTGATGGCTTTTGAGAAGGCTTGCCTCTAGAGTCAGGTCTTTAGTTAATGCCCTCAGCATGTGGTTCATGAGGGGAAAAGTTCTGAAATGAACATAACTCTGGTTTGAGATTACTGGTGTACATGTTTGCAACTTTATAGTGTTGAAGGGTACCATTCAGGCTATTGACAAGATTGAAGGAGACAAGATGGTAGTGCATGATCTCCCTTCCTTTATGAGAAGCATGGGTGTCCACCTGACAGATCAAGAGTTTCAGCAGGCATTAAAACAGATTCCTGTAGATGGTGAGTACATGAGTAAATGTTTTCCCATCCATGCCACTGGAGTTACTTACCACCATCTAAATAAAAAAGAATTCTCTCCCCCCTCTCCCTTCAATATCTTTTGGACTGTAGACTATAGACCACTGTCTAATTTGGGTGAAAACAAAATTAAAATAAGAAGTTAAAAAAGAAGACAAAAACATGGTGGCACCTTAAAGACTAACTTTGGTATTTCTTAAGGTGAGCTTTCATGGGCAAATCCACTTCCTCAGACATAAGAGCATCTTATATCTGATGAAGTGGACTTGTCCACAAAAGCTCACATTAAAAGTTGTCTTTAAGATGCCAACACATTTTTGTCTTTTTTAACTTTTTATTTTTATTTTGTTTTCACCTATAATGCTTGCACAGTCTAACATGGCTATCCCTCCTACAACCTCCAAGTTGGGGGAAGCATTAGTCTGTTTTTGTTCATTTGTTTGTTTACTGAAAATGTGATCAATCTGGCAAAAAGTTTTTGCTTGAACATGACCCAGAGCAAATATTTTCCCAGTCACATGCTCTGGCTGCCAGTTCTGAAGGGAGTACATTGCATTCATTTTATTTTCAGTGCATTCCACCAAGGTGATCGTTCTGCTTCATATAATTATGCTTTATTTATAGGTAGTGGGAAAGTATTTGTGAGAGACTTCATTAAGATTCTTACCAACACTCCACACTTCTCAGAACTGTCAGGTATTTAAGATAATTTGTTGGTGTTGGGGAAGGGAGAATTAGAAACAATTGCAGTGATATTTATTCATTTCACTCACTTGCCTGTGGTGATGGTGGTGTTTATTTTGAATCCTGATTGAAAGCCATTGAGACTTAAGGTCATCATGATCATGACTTTCATAAGTATCACTGATTTCAACAGTCCTACTGACTAAATCAGAATTCTACCTTGTTCACAGTCTCACATTTCTCATCTCAGATTTCAATGTGTCTACGTATTGTTGCAGGGTTTTAATTTCTGGTTAAATTCTGTATTGTTGCAGGGTTTTAATTTCTGGTTACCGTAAATTCTTTTAGGTGTATAGCAGAAGTGCAGGGATTCACAGAACACAATACCTTCAGTTTTAACAACTCACTCGGAAATTCACAGAACACAATACCTTCAGTTTTAATAACTCATTCAGAGAAAGAAAAAACATTTTCTTTACTTACAGTTGTGCACAGATCAAAGAGCAAACTGACAAACACAACTGCTTTCAACAACAATGAACTTCAACAGAATCAAACAGCAAACTGACAAACACAATTGCTTTCAACAACAAACTTCAACAGGCTTAAGAGAAAGAATTCACAAGTAGAGGGAGGACTTTCTTTGAATTCAGAAGCAGGGAAGAAATGATTGGTTAGTGCTGGATGGACTGACAGTTACTCCAGCCTAGAAAGGTACCTCCCAGCCAAACCTGCTTAAGGCAGCATGCAAGGTTGCAAAACCTGCAACACATATGACTACATGGGACCATACTCACTGTTCTGTTGTGAAGTAGTGGCTCTGCACAGGTTAGAATGCCTTTACTTTGATAAATGAAAGAAGCCAAGCTACTTTACAAAACTTTCAGAGGCCAGCACATGGTCCCAGTACCCAATAAGTGAAGCTATGGTCTCTGAAACCCTTAGATATTTCCCTGGTGTACCTTACTCTGAGAGAAGGCTACTTTAATTATTCAGATTGCTTCTCAAGATAGGATCAGCAGTTTGCTCATCACACACTTGCCTATCTTAGCAACCTATCAAGAAGAACTGCTGGATAGCTCAGTGGTTTAGGTATTTGGCTGCAAAGTCAGAGATAAGGAGTTCAACACCTCACTGTGTCTCCTTGACAAGGGCTCGAAAGGGACCCTTTCAGCTCTGCAGTTCTAAGATTAATGATCATGATACTCACCTAGGCTGTTATTTAAACTCTGATTCCAAGAAGGACTGGGAAGTGGGATGAGGCCCAGATTTCTGCTGTTGGGTTTTTCCAAGGGGGCCTGTAGAATGTTTGCCAGTTCTCGTGAGCAAAACTCAACTTTGCTTTATCCCTCAGTGCTGAAGGACACCATCAAAGCAGCCAGCAATATTCAAGGAAACAAGGTTCCTCTGCAAGATCTGAAATCCACTCTGAAGCATATGGGCATTCATCTATACCCACAAGAGTATGAGGAGCTAATTCAGAATACTCCCAATGATGGCAAGTAATATATGGCCCCATCTTTGGGAGGCTGGGGCCTTAACTGTATCTTCCTTACCTTCTGCTGTTGCCAGGCAACAGGGAGAGACGACTACAAATTGCCTCTGTTTTAAATGTGGTGTGTGTCACATGAAGGAAGATCTTAGACAGGGAAAGGGTATTCTGGGAACAAAGGCCTTCTGACTATGATAGGAACATATGCCAATCTAGATTACTTTTTTTTTCATGGAACTCCTTAACTATTTCTTTCATAATATGTCAGTGGCTCCTGCCCCAGCACATTGTTGAATATAATGTCTTTTCACTTTTCAGGAGAAGGGAACATTGATATTGATCAAGTCATAGGAAAAATATCTAAAACACAACGCTTCTCAGAAATCCAAGGTGAGTGAACAGGAGCAGAGCAGCAAGGTACTTGAAAAGAATGAAGGGATGATGAGAAGAAATGTTTTGTGATGAATTGTTCTCCAGCTCTAGAGTGCTGTGTCCAGTTTTGTACTCTTTAAGAAGGATTCCAACAAACTGGAGCAAGTTCAGAGGAGGGCAACAAGAGTGACCAGGGGACTAGAAACCAACTTCATATTCTTGTAGTCATGATGACAGAGAGCAGCACAAAAAAAAGTGAGGCACTGGTGAGATAAGTTTCATGAGAGTGAGAAAGTTAATTTTGTGTTCTTTCTCCCCGTAGTTCTGAATAATGCCATCAAAACCTTCAGTCAGTTCAAAGATGAAAAAGTGGCAGTTTCAGACATGCAGACATGCCTCAAAAATATTGGAGTCCATCTAACCGAGTCAGAATTAGAGGAGGCCACAACATCTCTCAAAGGTTCTTGTGAGTATTTGTGCCTACTCATTATTGTCCAATTTTATCCAAATGTACAGATCTTAACTCAGGTCAGGCAGAAGAGTAATAGTTTTTCTGTTAGTTCTAAGAGTTGCTTCCCAAATGGCATTTTCGATAACATGATTGTAAGTTGGCCAGCTGAGACCAGTCAGGAATATGCAGGGCTGAAGATTTTAATCAATTGATTAATCAGCCAACATTTTTATTGATTGGTCCACTTTTAATTGATCAGCTATGCAATAAGGACACATTTGTCCAGAACACTGATTGCTGCAGGTATGAAATAGTCATTCACTTCCAAGGATAGGTAATTCTGCTGATATACTGTATTTCAGTGCACTGGGGTACAGCAGAATTACTTACCTCAGCAGAGGCTGATTGAAACAATCAAATACATGAACAGTGAGATTTAAAGAAAAGCCACCTTGATGAATGAGTAATACTTTCTGTCTCATGGTCATCAAAGAAAGTCACATACATTATATCCTTTCTGCTCATAACTGCTATGGAAGGTAAGACTGTGAGATTATTCCGATATTGCAGAAGGAGGTCTGAATCCAAGAACAAGATACTGTATGCATAATGCCACCCAGCATACACACAGCTGAGGTTGAGGATTATGATTTGTCTGGCTCATTACTTTCTCTGACTCGCCATGTTGTCCCCAAATGGCATATTGCACTCTTAGAAGCTTCCAAGCTATCATGCCTACTTTCTAAAAAAAAATAAAATAATAAAAATGACATTTTAAGGTCTCAGACAGGCCCAGTGAGGAATTATGTTTAAATGGCAAATCACTCCAAATCAATTTGTAATTTTGTAAATGGAGAGTACTTTGGGTCATACTGATGAACCCATGGGTTCATATATACCCTGTGAGCTACACTTTGTCCACCTCTGGCTAGCTACTACACTACATTATGGAGGAACTGTAATGATGAATGTCCTTCCTCAAAAGAAGAAGGTTAGTAAGGGTTCTGTTGTGGGAATGTTTGAGGTACTAATTAGAAGTGGGACATGGTTGGGTGTATCTTATAATAAGATGTAACTTAATTATTTGGTTTCTTCTGTAGCTGATGGGACTGTAAATGTCAAGGAACTTATTTCAGCTGTCAAGGGAATAAGGCGCTTCCAAAATTATTCAGGTAAGCTCTTACATGCACAAGAACAAACCTGTATGAAAGCACATAATGAGATAACAAAATGGTTTAATTTTAAAAAAATTAGATTACTTTAGTGTACATATTCAAGTTTTGATAGTGAACTGTATTCAAATGAACACATATAACTGAAGACATTTTGCTACTTGAGACAGGCAGGATTGTCCCCCATTATCACAACCCATGTACAAAAGTGGATTGAACCTGCATTTGATCCTCACTTTACAAGTGGCAAATGGGTATTAATTTCCATTCCATCTGAAGCAAATAGACTAATCTGAAGAGGCTGACTAAACAGGTGTTTAGCCTGCTGTTGGATCTGCTACAGGGATGGGCTGCTTTGTTCCCAAAGGTGGCAATCAGATGATGTCTTCACTGGAATGAACTAGCCCATTCCAGAGTGTTCCTACCTGCACATTTCTGGCCTCTGTCTGAGGTGCCTACTTTTTTTCATGTAAGTAGGATTGCTCCATGTTCAGCACATGTGATCGCTGGAAATCAAAAGTTTTTAGTGCATCATTTTTAAAACAAAGTATGTATGGGTGTTAACATTTAGGCATGTTTATTAGATTGGTATACCTAATGCACTTACCTAATATACATGGCTAACTTCTAATTCACATACAGTACTTAATACTGTTTTTAAAAATGATGTAGAGCATCTTTATTGTTCTACTATACACTTTTTTTGCACTTCCTCAACCCCTCTATGGAGCCGAAGAAGTGTTAATTTGCCAACATTGTGAAGTGCCTTTGTTTTTAAGGCACTTCACAATGGTGACAAATTGACAGCAGGCTGCTGCAGATCAAATAGGGTCGCTTGAGGTCTGTAAGCCATTTGGATACAAGGTTAACACCAAACAGCACACCTGACCTCCTAGTGAGCCTATTTAGCCCAATCTAGTCTGTTTGAAATGTCACATATAGACAAGCCTTTAGAGAGTGTAGAGCAGGTTGTGTAGCACAGTGGTTCTTAACCTTTTTGAAAGAAACGCCCCCTTGAGCCATTGAGGAAGTTATCATCGCCCCCTCCCCATGGTGATTTTATTTATTTATTTATTTATTTATTTATTTATTTATTTATTTATTTATTTATTTATTATATTCCACCCATCTAGTCGTTCGACTACTCCGGGCGGCATACAACATACAAAATAAACAATTAAATAGCATCATTATCAAGATTAGGAAGTAATTCAAAATGGAAAAAAATGAAGAAAGATCAAAGAGTGCCCAGAGGGAAGGCCTGCCTGAATAGCCAAGTTTTTAATTAGCTTTTAAAAATTCCCAGCAATTTCTAACCTATGAGACGTTTTGTGCATCTGCTAGTCACTCATATAATGATAATCAAGGTGAGAACAGCTGCATAACTAAAAAGTGGATAGGGGTTTTGCACCATTGGCAGGGTGCATCAGTTATTCAGCTTTTCCCCTTCTGCTCCAGCGCCCCCACACCGCCCCTTTTCGTTCTACTGCCCCCCTGAAAAATGAAATCGCCCCCTGGGGGGCATTATCGCCCACGTTAAGAACCACTGGTGTAGCACACAGTTCTCCTCTATCTGGGCCATCTCACTCCATCAAATGAGTGGACTGATGCCTTAGTTTTCCGATATATTCAGCCATGAAGCATCATGATGAAGGATCAATTGCTCTGAACTTAGCCAGGATATAGCTTAAAGCCCTCAACAGACATCTCAGTTGGATTGGGGAATCTATGCACTGCGCTGGTTAAAAGACATCTCGACAATGTTACTGGTTGTGTTGAAGGAGTAGTTGCTGTAGGATAGGAGCAGCTCTATCTGTCACTGCAGTAGTGCAAGCATGCAGATATGTGTGCGTCTGAAGGAAAATGGCTTCTAACTCACTCATTTTTGACCTGTGTCCCTTGACATAACTTCCGCTTCAGCCAAATAAATTTCCCGTTACAGGGTATGGCGTTACCCCATATTCCTTGCAGGAAAGGTTATACCAAAGCAACTGGGATATAACAATACCTGTACCTGCACTGACACACTTCGCATGTATAAAGAAGGGTGCTCCATCAAGTGTTGAAAGGCATCTAGTCCTCATATCCATTATTTTCTTCACCTGTGTATCTTGTGTCTATGTGTTTAGTTCTGTAATTGGTCATTGGATTGTAAACACAGGCTTAATTTGCAAGCTTGGATTTTGAAGCATGTATCAAGAGGAAAATGGATATGAGAAAGTGAATTATCCCAGTGGTTCTTAACCTTGGGTTACTCAGGTGTTTTTGGACTGCAACTCCCAGAAACCCCAGCCAGCACAGCTGGTGGTGAAGGCTTCTGGGTGTTGGAGTCCAAAAACATCTGAGTAACCCAAGGTTAAAAACCACTGAATTATCCCATAATGTTTGTTTGTGAAAGCAAGCGACTTTCTTCTTGCGCATGACTAAAGTGTAAAGGATGCAGCTTCTTTCCTTCTCTGCAGTTGTGCTTGAGGTTATCCTTGCTCTCAAGTTCCTTAAAAAATACACAAAGATGGATTCAACATGGGTGAGAAGAAGCCTGAATACCTTTGGTTTCAAACTGGCTAATGAAGTGATCAGCCAGGTATTAAAGTCTGCACATATGACTGGTAAGTGTCCGAACTAGCAGGAAGTGATTACCTATCGTGGTTGCATCTGACTATACTGAGAGTTTCTGGTGATTCTGGTAATCACCAAAAGTTGGTGATTACAGTGAATAATATTAATCCTGATCTCTTTCTTTGGGATAGAATTGTATTTAATGTTCAGAATGCCTGAGAGGAAAGCAATTTATGTATGTATGTATGTATGTATGTATGTATGTATGTATGTATGTATGTATGTATGTATTATTTGCTTGCTTGCTTGCTTGCTTGCTTGCTTGCTTACTTACTTACTTACTTACTTACTTACTTACTTACTTACTTACTTACTTACAATATTTCTGCCCCACCTTTCTCCTTAAAAAGATATTTTCTTACTTGTGGAAGGACAGCAAAGATGGGGCCAGCCTGGCCTCCTGTGGGAGGGAGCTCCAGATTTTGGGAGCAGTACCAGAGAAGGCCCTCTCCCTGTGTCCCCACTAAACGTACCTGTGAAAATGGCAGAACTGAGAGGAAGGTCTCTGCCAATAATCTTAACATTCAAGCAGGTTCATAAAGGCAGATGTGGCCATCCTTGAGATAGATTGGGCTCCAGCTGTTTAGCTTTAAAAATTAGAACCATTTCTTTGAATTCTGTCTGGAAATGGATCAGTAGCCAGTGGAGCTGCTGTATCCGTTCTTTCAAAAAGCACATCCAGTGTTTTTAACTTTTGATGTTGATATTCAGAACTAGGGAAACGTGATTGTCCTGTAATTTATCAATCATTTAACATCTGTACCATGTGAAACGTAAGGTTCAGTACTGTGTGATCTCTTAAAAGTTTGTGTAGGCACATATACAGAATATGCTACCTCCCAAGAAGATCTTTGTGGGGATTCAACAAAAAGGAGGTTGAAATCAACATGGTGCCAAAAATTCTTTCTGACTTTTTTCAACGATTCTCTTTCTGTTTGATGAGAAAGATAACGGCTGTTTTATTTTATTTTGGCAGAAAGAAGGAGGAAATGGTGGAGAAAATTTTTGTTGTAGGGTATGGAGTTCTAACCTAAGTTAAGAGGAGGCTGAGGTGTTTGGGGAAAGAGAGAGACTTTATTGTAGGATCATTTCTCCGGCATCCTGCATCCCCATTTCCTTCCCTGCTTCCAATAAAATCATACGGAGAACATGTTATGAGGTAACACCTTCCCTGGGACTTTTTCAGATTAGCAGATTTGGGAATTGGGAACTAGCTGCAGAACGATATATAACAGAAAATTAAAACATACACAGTAGCTTCAGTCAACTGGTGACAAGACAAATTCAAAGACATTACGAAAAGAAATTTCAAAGCACAGTTAAGAGAAAAGGGGAACAAATTAGAATGGTGATTTACCAGAAAGATACTAGTGATGAAAGACAGTTAAGAGGAAAGTCCTCTTTCTTTGACTTTTTTATACCTGTTCTACTTCTGGAAATTTGTCGAGTCCAGAGAACCCTTGCTTTTTTTTCCTGGTCTCATTAGTAAATTAAGGATAACCAAGATGAAGGTTCCCGCCATTTTTTAATTGCTTCCTTCCCTATTCCTACTATAATTTACAGAAGCTGGGTGGGCAAAGTTCAATAATTTCTTGAGGATTTTGACAAGGAATCAGCAATTTAAAACATCTGCAGGTAAGCAAACCAACTCTGTTATAGTCAAACTTCTCTCTGGTACTATGGAGAAGGCAATGTTTACCTTTTGTCAAAAGTTGGAAATAATTTTAACAAATTATTTCCAACTTCTGATGAAAGATTCAGTATTTTAATGCATTATGTTATTCAGCAATTAATTAACAGTTCATTAATTATTCTAATGTTGAACAATAATTTCATCATTTATTGGTACATTTAATCATGATGGTAGTTTTTAGCAATTCTAAGCAATATTTTAAAATTACCTTTTTAATGACTTAACTAAGGCAACAATCAATGAATTAAATTTGTTAACATTTTAAGTTCAATAGATTAGCTTTCCTTAAATATTTAACGTTAACATATGTGGCTGCTGCAGTTTGCAACATCTACTCTGTGTAGCTGGGCTTCTCCGTTTCAATTTTGGCAGTGTCATACTCTCCACTTCCCTGAATGGTAAGAAGTTCCAGTTCTGTGAAACTCCTTGCCACAGGATGTGGTGAAGGTATCTGGCCTAGATGGCTTTAAAAGGGGATTGGACAGATTTCTGGAGGAAAAGTCCATCGCAGGCGACAAGCCATGAAGGGGAAGTATAATCTCCAGGCTTAAAAGGAAGGTACCTCAAAATGCCAGATGCAGGGGAGGGGTATCAGGAGACAGGTATCTAGTTGTCTCGTGTGCTCCCAGAGGCATCTGGTGGGGCCACTGTGAGATACAGGGAGCTGGACTAGAAGGGCCCTTGGCCTGATCCAGCAGGACTCTTCTTATGTTCTTATGAGTTACCGTTGTAGGTTTATGTTTCCTTTGATCAAGAGACCTCTCAAAATGTATGTTTTCGAAATGCTGCCTACATTGAGAAATGTACAAGCAGAGCAAAGTGGAAGGCAACAGATAGCAACAGTCAGGCAACCCAATATCTAATTCTACACCAGATCCCCAGAGGGAACTACTGTGCTTTAAAGACACTTCAGTGACCTCAAGGTTGGCTGATCATCTTCTGAGTCAAAAGAAGAAAGCCAAGGAGAAGAGGGTGGGACAAGGAGAAGAGGTCTTGTTGCGTTTTCGCCTAGTTTAAGCTTAGTTGCCTAACTAAGCCTTCATTGTGGTTTGTTGTATGTCCAATCTCTTCCCCTTCCTCTGTTTCTCCCCATCACTGTAGTCTTGGCAGATGGCTTTGATGTCCTTGCCAAGCTAAACAACGGGAGGATTGGTGTGGATGAGTTACAGGCAGTTATGAAGAGCTTCAACATCTACTTGCCCTCCAGTGATTTGTCAGAGGCTTTGGCCTATTGCAACATTGATGGTAAGGACCTGTTATACTTGGTGCAGAAGAGAGTGGCAAGGTAGGGTGATGTGTGCTTGTGTATGTGTTCCATATATTTAAATATTTTGTATTAAAATGATACAGTTGCTATCTTTTGGAGGGAAGGCAGTCTGTGAATACATGTTAAATCATCCAGTTCACACAATTCTTCCATGCCTTTTTTTCCTACTCTATTTTCAGAGAACAAGACAGTGAATCTGAATGACTTTCTCAGGAGTGTAACCCATACTGGTGCTTTCATAACTAATCCAGGTATGTGAAGAACTCTGGGAGTATAATAAAACTGGTCTGGGGGGCTCACAACTACAAGATTAATTTATTGCCATGAATCTTTGAAACTGTAAATGTTTAACTCATTGTCTTAGAGTAATTTCATTGTTAGTTTTGACAGGTCCACTCCAGATAGCATGTCTGTGGCATCCGCCCGGGTCGTGAATATTCATATGCTATCTGCATAGACCAATGGGAGTGCTGGAGGGGCGGAGTCACAAGATATAAGAGACTCCGCAGGAGGAGGGGGAGTTTAGATTGAGGGATAGGGAGTTTTGAGTTAGGAAGATAGAGGGTTTTGGAGTTTGGGCATGAGAGTGGTGGCTGAGAGTGGATAAAGGAGAATGTTTGTTTAAGAGTTAACATTGGTTGTTCTGTTAACACCTGTATCAATAAACAATTTGTATTTGATTCTTTTAAAATGACATATGGCCTAGACCTCTATCATTAATAATAGGTAATATTGATCAACTGCAGTCCTGCCTCAGCCCTTTCTTCATTCACTTTCCCGGATAGTCGTTTCAGTTCACTTCTGCTTTGTGCCAATAAGATGGTGTCATCTGCCTATCTTAAGTTATCAATGTTTTTTCAACTAATTTTCATTCCTCCTTCATCTGAATCTAGTCCAGCTTTCTATATGATATTTTCTGAGCAGTGATTGAAGAGATAAGGGGATAAAATGCACCTTGTCTGACACTTTTACCTGTAGGAAACCATTCTGTTCTAACAGTAGTTTCTTATTCACAATACAGGTTATGCATCAGGATCATCAAGTGCTGAAGCACACCCATTTGTTTCAGAACAGTCCATAGCTTCTCTTAATCCACATAGCTTTTTGTAGTCCATAAAGCATAGACTCACCTTCTGCTATTCTTTGGTGCACTCCAGTAGCCAGCAGATGTTTGCAATATGATCTCAAGTGCCTCTTACTTTTTGAAATCCATCTTGAACATCAGGCATTTTTCACATTTCTCATATAAGGTAGAAGCCTTTGTTGCAACACCTCGAGCATTACTTTGCTTGCATGGGAAATTAGAGCAATGGTCCTATAGTTACTGCACTCCTTGGAATCTTCTTTCTTAGAGACTGGAATATATGTACAGTGGTGCCTTGCATTGCGACGTTAATTCGTTCTGCAAAAATTGCTGCAGAATGAAAATGTTGCAATGCGAAAATAAAAAGCCCATAGAAACGCATTAAAACGCGATTAATGCGTTCCTATGGGCTTAAAACTCACTGTTCAGCGAAGATCCACCATAGTGCGGCTATTTCTGGTGCCTCTTAAGCAAGGAATCCATCCCAGAAAACAGTGGGTGGCCATTTTGTTTACCCGGCGGCCATTTTGAAACCGCCAATCAGCTGTTCTAAAATCGTCGCTTTGGGATGCTCGATTCCCCAAGCAGGGAACCGATCATCGCAAAGTGAAAATGCCCCCATAGGGAACATCGCAAAGCGATCGGAAAAAATGTGTCGCAAAGTGGTTCCCCAAGCAGGGAACCGATCATCGCAAAGTGAAAATGCCCCCATAGGGAACATCGCAAAGCGATCGCTTTTGAAATCGCAAAAAATGTGTCACAAAGCGATTTCATCGTAAAATGGAGCGATCGCTATGCGAGGCACCACTGTATATTGAATGTTTCCTGTCTGTGGCCCTTTGTTTTTCTTCCATATTTATTGGCACATTCTTGTTAGGATTTTGATTAGTTCTGTGATCGCTATGCGAGGCACCACTGTATATTGAGTGTTTCCTGTCTGTGGCCCTTTGTTTTGTCTTCCATATTTATTGGCAGTTAGGATTTTGATTAGTTCTATGGTTTGACACAGTTCTATCGGTTTTCCATCTACCTCAGTAATTTATTTCTTCCCAGTGCTTTCAGCACAGCTTTCACTTCACTTTCTAGAACTGCAGGTCCTTCATCATAGGATTTCTCATCAAAGGAATCTGTTATCCTTTTATCTCTTGTGCATAGGTCTACTGTATCCATCTTTTCTTTATTTTATCCTGGTCAGATAGTGTGCTTCCTTGTTGGTCTTTCAACTCTTCTAATCTAGACTTAAATTTCCCTTTAATTTCTTGGATCTTTCAGAAGGGATCTCTTGTTTTTCCTCTTCTGTTACATTCCCCTTTGTAGATGTGCTGCTTAACATTGTGAAGGGATCTGAATGTGTCAGAAAAGATGAGAGCAATGCTGTCAGCTACCCAAGACTGAATGTTCACAGCAGACGCACCAGATTAAGGTGCATACAACCCTCTTTACAGGAAACAGAACTAAGGTCAGAACCCTGAATGCAGCTTTTCAGCAACTGTCTGGCAGAGACAAAGAGAACTATTATAATCACCAGAGCAAAGAAATAGAAGAGAATCATAAAACCAATATCAACACATTATTTCCAAGCTCTGAAAAAGAATAACAAAAAGGGAGAAGGAGGAAAGAGTCTTGTGGCTCTTTTAACAGATTAATTAGCATGAGTATTTTTGGAGTGTGATCCACTTCTTCTGGAAGCGTTAGATGTAAATAGATTAAAACAGCTACCTCTTTGAGCAGAAGGAGTATTTTCTTTCTGTATTTGTAGCCCTTTTTCCTGATTTTGCCAATTACGCCTACAAAGGTGAAAGGAGCAATTTGAAAATGTGTAGTAGGGAATGTATGAGGTCAGTTACACTGTATGAGAAAACAAGTAAAGGGTACAGTGAAGAGGTCATCTCACTGCAGGGGGAACTGAAAAGGAAAAGTTCTCTTAAGAAAGGAATTTCCAAAGAGGTAAAGGTGGAAAAATTAAAAGGTGGGGGAAGGAAAACAAGGTGACATGTTGTGGCATTGTAAAGACTAACAACTCAGTGTCTGAAGAGAGTTTTGATCCATGAAAGTTCACATGGAAATAAACCAGTCAGTCTTTAAGGTGCTGTATTATTTTGCCTTTCCCCACCACCTTCCACGTCCCCTTTTTTTTCTTTTTCCCCTTGGATTTTGCCAGTATATTAGAAAAGGGGTTGTTGAAAACTCAAATATGACTATAACCTTGTCAAACATTTAGATGTAATTAGGGTGGTTTTACCCTTGGATTAACATTCTCATCTGTAAATTGAACAAAGCCAGAAGAAGTATTAATAAATCAGTCTCTATTTGGTTTCTACTTATTCTTGCTTTGTGTATGATATTAGAATTCAAGCACATTGGCAAGGTTAAATAATGTTTTTTTTTTTTTTAAAAAGATTAACTGTATTTGTGACATGGAGTTTTAGAGTTAAAATTGTTTTTTCAGACTTTTTAACAGCAGTAATGTCTATATTGTGATTTATTTTTCTTATACATTGTATTTTGTACATTTATAATACATGTGTTATATAACTTTTTTAAAAAACAAACCCACATCTAGTTATAAAAATATGGTTCATATTATTGGAACAGAGCAAAAGTACGCATAATCCGTTTCTATAGATATTCAGCTATTTCACAAGCAGGACTTTAGAGATATAGCCTTTGTCTGGCTTTGATGTGCTGTTTCTGAAACTAGATCTTATTTTGTTCACTTCTATTTTGAGTTTTGTCTGCCGTTAATTAATGTGAATATTTAGAAGAGGAAAGCAATTTGATGAACCAAGAAGTTTCCCCCATCTGTGGTTTCCTCCATGGCATTATTAAAATAAGACATTTTCCCCTAGCTTGCTACCTTCCTGTTATGTTGTATTACATCCCCCATCACACAGTAGCCTTATTAGCAGAGGATAATGGAATATACTCAATCACCTATGAAGGTTATTGGCTTGCAGAGAGCTCCAAAGATTTGTTCTGCTCTTTTCTGCTGACTTTGGAAAGTGTTTTTATAGGATTGCAGCTCACATGCATGGCACTGAGCAAGCTCAAGGACGGCCATTTTGATCTCCATGCTCTTGAGTCCACTCTGAACACGATGGATCTTCCCAATGCCAAAGAATTACTGCAAGATATCATGAAGATGGCCCAAGTTGACAGTAAGCCTTCCAAAAGAGGGGTCTTAGAAGTGTCCCCAATATTCAGTTACAGTTCACTCACTTTCTTTCTGACCTACATTTTGCTTTGCAGATGGTGGCAATGTGAATTTTGAAGAATTCATGAGGATTTTTATTGTTGTGCCAGAGTTCCCAGAAGCTGTTGGTAAGGAAGTGCTAGGCATTCCATTTACTGTTCCATTATAGTAAATGGCAAGATCTCTTTCTTTGGCATGAAATCCCACCCACCCCAAAAAAAGAAGTTAAATGCAATTGCAAAGAAGTTCTCTGCGGCCTGATTCTAGTGGTGGGCATCAGCCAAAGATGAAATGATGAGACCAAATATATTAGTAATTTCAGCAAAATCTCTTGTTGCCAGTAACCCAGTTTTAGGAGAAGTATTTAAACTTTCAGAATGGGGGAAAACTTTAAAAAAACCACAAAAACTAGGAAACTTGTGAATGAGGGTGTTCTGTGGCAGGGTGTGTGGCCCTCTTGGGGATCACTTAGTCTTTGCCCCAGAGTGTGAGGTTTCCCACAACTGACATGGAACCACCTGCCAGTTTCCAGAGAACCTCTGTCCTCAGCATTTTACTCTTGAAATTTTATTTAATTATGAGTTACCCTATTCTTTCCCCAGACAGTTGGAATTTTCAATGCAAAGTGACTGTAGGAAGACAGGGATGGGTGAAGAGCAAGAGAGGGCTGTCTAACTTTTCCCCTTTCCTTATCCCCATTTCACTCAAAATAACCCCAGGCTAATTTCCTACCTGTAGAGGAAAGATCCAAATACTTTACTGGGCTGAAATGCAAGCAAGTGCTATATGTCCAGTCTCAATTTCAGTTCAACTGGATGTAAACTGAGCTGGTTTGTTTTCCTCTTTCCTGTCTTCGGTAGTGCTGAAAGATATATTTGATGCCATGAGTAATATCAAAGACCATCAAATCCATGTAGATGAACTGCCTCAAACATTGGCTAATGTTGGCCTTAATTTAACTCCAGATGAGCTCCAGTCTCTGAGTAAATCAGTCACAATAGCAGGTGAGATTACAAGCACTTGTTTCCATACAGCATTGTAAGATGGTTTGGTTTAACCACGGAACACACTGTTTTGGTTTGGAATAACTCCATGAGGATTGTGAAAAGGAATCCAGTTATAGTGACCCAAAACCAAGGGGAATAATGCATTTCTTAGACCATCCTTCATTAAACCTTACTATCCTCTTTTATACAAGGATGACAGTGTTTCTTTTTTGTTGTTGTTCAATCATGGGGGTCACATGGTTTGGTTTAACCACGGAACACACTGTTTTGGTTTGGAATAACTCCATGAGGATTGTGAAAAGGAATCCAGTTATAGTGACCCAAAACCAAGGGGAATAATGCATTTCTTAGACCATCCTTCATTAAACCTTACTATCCTCTTTTATACAAGGATGACAGTGTTTCTTTTTTGTTGTTGTTCAATCATGGGGGTGTCACATACTGTACTGTATACTGTTGCAGTAGGAACCCATCTCTCTACTATAGTCTCCCCAGGCCTCTCTGTCATTCTAGAACAAAAACACACCAAGTGCTTGAGGGATAGAGCCCTTAAATCTCACTTCTGGGTAATTAACAGTACTTACTATGTTATTCCAATATTACTATGGCCTAAATCTAACATCGCTTTCCTTTTCCCTCCCGCAGCAGCTTTCAATTCTGCCTGAAAATTTAGTCTTCTCAGTTTTAAGGTGCACAGGGAGGCTGTGGGGGATGGGGCTATTGCTCTTCCCATTTCTGCTGGATTTCTTAGTGTCATGAGGGGACATCCAATATTGGATACTGGCCATAATTCACTTGATGAGTATTTGACTTTAAACCATCCTGAGGTATTGTATAGGAAGCAATCACTAATCCTACGTAGGTTTCACTGATTCAACTGACCTATTCAGTTTTAAACCTAATCCTGGATTTCAGCAAGGGTATGCTTCTGATATGTGTTTACTCAGGAGTAAATCAACTATATTCTATGATGCTCCTTAGTAAGCATATTTAGAATTACAGCCTTGAGGATCATACAGATGCTTAGCATTGTTATTAATGCTCTCAAGACAAAGGACTCTCACACCATTAAAGGATGATTTCAAGTCAAATCGTCATCAAGTCAAGTATGAAAAGAACTGTAGGCAAAATGCAAGAATTCTCATAGATAGATACCACTTCCTTTGTTTAGTCCTTGTGCCATTCTGGTTTTTTACTGTACAGGAGATGGAACAGTGGGTTTTGAAGATGTCATCATGAACATGACGGGTGCTCAGTCCTTTGCAGAATTTACTAGTAAGATCACAAATGAACATTCTCTCATTGTCTTAAGACTTATTTGCCCAGCAATAAGTCAATAGTTCAGAGAATGTTGACTATGTGCATGGATGAAGGAAGGAGTTCGTTTTGCCCCAATACTTCCCATTGTGCTTGATTCACAAGCTCTTTTCTGACTTGTTTTTTCACTATTGTTCATGTTATAGAATGCTCCACCATGTAAAGAATGCCCTCTAGTAAGGAATGGAATGTTGGAGACAATGGAGGGTGGTGGATCTGATTCCATGGGGGTGGCAAATCTGCTCTCGATTATAGTCCATACTTTACAAGAGCTCTCCAAGATGCTTAAAATGCAAATTAAAAACCCAGAGCAGATACATCACCCCTTGCAAAACCGGGAGTCACCAGCAGTTTCCACTACTTGGACAGAAATGCTGTATCTATTAATACAAAGTGATTTGTGCTTGCTTGACATGTAAATCTAGTACATTCTGAATTGTTTCTTATAATCACTTGCACAGCGAGGAGAACATTTTGCTTTGGATTACATCTTCTAGAATGCTCCAGCTGGTGGTAGTGTTGGCTAGTTTATTCTGGTAGCCATAGTCCAAAGAGGTAATGCTGTTTCTCTTTTCTGCATTTGTGTGCAGACATAGTGGGCCAGCCAGAAATGTAGCTGCTTCCAATGAGTCATTGCATGTATTTATTTGTTTAGAATATTTATATCCCACCCTATATCACAAGGTGGCCTAGTAGCCAGATGGGCGGTATAGAAGCTGAATAAAGAAATAAATAAAATAAATAAAAGTGTCAGGATAAGGTACACAATAAAACAATTTAAATAGTGTGAAATCTATAAAACCATTTAAAGTTTAAAAACAATTGTAAACACATGTCTAAGAAATTTAAAACCATTTGAAACCATAAAAGAAATTTATACAAATTTTATATTAAAGAAAGAAACTACTGAACACAAGGCACAACCTGTTCAAGCTGAGATCCTTAAACTCAGTGAGCAGCCATGTTTTAACTTAGAACCAAAGTGAAACTGACATCACTGCCAATGGAGCCTCCAAGAGGAGAGTATTCCGCAGTTGAAATTGACACATGCCAGTATTTACCTTTTTCTCTCTTTCTTCTGATGGGGTAAGTAGCAGCTGATTGACTGGCAGTGGTATATCCCACCCAAGTCTGGCCTACACAAAATGGGTTGATTCATATTGTCTCAATGGTAGCTTTAGTTGACTGGATAGCTCAGTGAGTTAGGGATCTGGCTGCAGGGCCAGAAGTTGTGTGTTCGATTCCCCACTGTGCTCCATAGGAAAAGAGCCAGCCAGCGTAGCCATGTGGAAGCTGCACCGTCCCAGGGTTCCCCCAGAAGCAGGGAATGGTATTCCTGAGCATTGACTACCTCAAAAACCCTGAAAAGAGTCACCATAAGTGACAGTTGATGATGGTGATGGTGGTGATGGTGGTGGTGGTGGTGGTGGTGATGATGATGATGATGATATAGTGAGTTGAGAATTAGCATAGCTGAAACTCTGCTTGAAACTTGGTCCTTGCAGCTCTACGCAATACTTTCAGTGTGATCAACAAGGCCTTCACAGAGAAGATTAAGAAGGAAGACCTGCCAGGTGTCTTAGAAGGCCTGGGTTTCCAACTGCCCCCTGATGAACTTCAGGCAGTTCTGGCATCTGCTTCAACTGGTGGTGCGTAGAAACTGGATGAATAAGTTTAGAATATATCTTACCTTTCTGTCCAAGCTGGTTAACAATGTCTATTAAATATTTTAAAATCAAAATTGACGCCTTTACATTTCTGTGAGTAACTCCCCATCTAATAGTCCAGTATTCTGGTGTGAAATGGAACCTGAGGTAACACAGTTGTCCAAAACAGATGACACAGCACATTGTTAGAAGCAGAGCTCTCTTAAAAGGTTAATCCTAACACAACATTTGCACCTCTGTAAGTGGCAAATTTGCTCACTTTTGGTTTTGGCTGGACTACCTAAAACCCCAAAGAGCTTCTGTTGTTTGACTCAAGTTGGAGATAGAAAGCTAATGGTGCTATAGAACATTTATCACAGAGATAATTGACATAGATGCAGCATAATACAGTATAGCAAAAGGAAACATGGAGATGCTCTTATACAGTGGTAAGCCCTGCAGTCCAGTCAGATCTGATGCTTTGAGACATGTCAGGGGCACTAGAAAGGTTATTAATATCTTAGCTTCCCTACATGGACACTGGAAGGAGACAAATAGAGGCTAACCTCCAACTCCAGAGGACGAAAACTGTTGCACACCAAGTGGCATGAATGTCTCTGACCAGGTGAGCATGTTATCACTTGGGTGAGATAAACTACTCTTAGAGCCATACAATTGTAAACTTTAGGATACAAAGTGCAGTTTCTTTCTATGCTCACTAAGCCAATGACACATCTGTGAAACAGCATATAAATATATTTTATATAGTAAATGCACAACCCAATCTTATCTGTGATTGGTCATCCAGAGTTCAGCATAGGTTTTGTCTGTGAATCCCAAATATATGTAGAAACATTCTCTGGAGAGGAAAGGTTTTATCACCTTCTAATTGCAAAGGCTGTATTCTTTTTTTCCAACTTCTAATAGACAGTCTGTGGTTTTATTGCGTATAATCATAGACCAGTGGTTCCCAATCTTGAGTAACCCAGGTTACACTCCAATTCCCGGAATCTCCAAAGAACCTTTGAGGGGTTTTCTTGTATTTCAATTAGTTACATATCTTTTTTTCCAACTTCTAATAGATAGTCTGTGGTTTTATTGCATATAATCATAGACCAGTGGTTCCCAATCTTGGGTAACCCAGGTTACACTCCAATTCCCGGAAACTCCAACCAGCACAGTTTGTGGTGAAGGCAGTGGGAGTTGTAGTCCAAGAACACCTGGGTTAACCAAGGTTGGGAACCACTATCATTGATTCTTAGTAAAGATGGGGGGGGGAGGAGGCTAGTCAAGTAGGAGTAAGTTTGGTTATCAGTGCCTTGCATTCAGTTATGTGGGACAAAAAGCAAGCCTGGTAACTGGCAACTGAATTGCAGGAGAGCAAATACGTATTCTAAGTAGTTAAGTATAAGCCAGATAGGTAACACAGGTGGGAGCCTATATGAATATGCAAACAGAAGGAGCTTATTTATGGACACTTTAATAGGCTGGGTATATAAAATATATTCCTTTGGAAGGAATTTCATTTGTTCACAGTCTTCTTGGAAGAAATGATACATGTAGCATCCTTCTTTTGCTAGAAATAGGAATGGAATTACAAGCCCTAGCTCCTACAGTGAAAAGGGCTTCTATGACTTCACTTCCCACCGGGAATACTTCAATGTGTAGTCCAAGTCTCTGCCTTTAGTAGGAAACGATGCTTTTCCATGAGAGCTCTGAGCAACTGCCACTGTCTTTTCCCTTTCCTTTCACCTGCCCAATGGTGAATATTGTTACTTCTGAGCAGGAGAACAGGGAGGGAGAAGCAGCATTGTGGATGCTAAAGGTAAGAACCTTTGAGGGGTATTCTTGTATTTCAATTAGTTACATGCTTCTCAGGGGAAAGCACTGGGATTCTTAGCAGTATGCATCTTTTGGGGCCAATGTAATAATTGAGGTATGGTGGTATTTCATGGGTGTTTCTAATTAATCTTCAAGGCTTCCAGAAGCCTCCATGCAATTTTGGAGATGTACAATACTTAATAACAATTTTGAAAACTGTGATCTTGTATTTGATTATGAAGGGGCTGTGTCTCATGGCAGATGCCAGCCAGATGATGTCTCTCCTGCCTGACCCTATCTTGGTGTTTCCTTTTCTCCCAATCCACCATAGACTCAGGGAAGTTGGATGGGATAGAAATCGTGACGATCTTGTCCAATGTTCCATGCTTTTCTGAATCCAAAGGTAGGCATCTAAAGTGTCTGGAGACAGAGAATATGAGTGCTTCCTCTATGGAAGGCAAACCCTGGAAGCTCTTCATTGGCAGAGCAAATGCCATGCAGAGTTGTGGTGAACAACGAGAATCCACATTTTTTAAAAAAATTGTAAAGCCCCCAGAAGCAATTAATTGCCATTTATGTTTTTAATAATACTTCATTGCAATGCTCATTATTTTTATGTTAATTAATTTGGATTGATAAAAGAATAGCACAAAACTAGGGATGTGAAGAATTTTACATTCTCAGGAAGATCTGCTGCCTCAGTTTGTGGCAGTGTGAGTCTTGTATCTATACTAGGAACTAGATGAGGGAAACCTTTTTTATAAGGATTCTGCAATTAGATAGGATGTCCCTGTACAAAACTAATATCTTTTCCTTCTGTGTTGGGAGATCACAAAGATGCAAACAACCCATCCAGCACTCCTTTTTTTAATATAAAAGTCAGTGCAACAAGGCAGCAGTTTTGTTTTGTGCAGTTGTGCAATTTGCGCAGATTTGTTTTTACAATTGCAAGACCTCTCCCTGATAGCACCAGAAAATCTTTCACCAGTTCGTGAGTAAGGGCGAGGAAATTTTTGTGGTTTCTTCACACATAACCCTGAGACAAGGAAGGATCTAGATCCTTTCACCAGGTATGGTATCGGAGCACAAACCTTAACTCACACATGTTCGAAGACACACCTGTAAAAGAACTCTGAACGATAGCAATAGTGCATCTTGACACAGACGGGGCTGAGTATATCATGCTCACGCAAGAGCTATTCATAAGGGAAACGTTCTTGAACACCAAAGGATTAAAATATATCAAAGATCCAACAAAAATAAGGACTCAAAAGAAGCAAACTTGCATGACTAAGAGGGTTTGGAGATTCAAGCTTCATTGTCAAGTTCTACAGTGCCTGGGCAAAATATTTGCAGAGGTGCTGCAAGGGTTTAATGAGAACCAAAGGAAGGCTCTTTTCCTAAACCACAGAAACATGCATACAAAGGAAACAGAGGGAAAATTGGCGAGCCACTGTTGTGTCAGAAAAATGCTCCTGGAAAATAAATTAGGGGTGGAAAAGGTTAGCTCTCGTTAGTCTTATAAGACTGCCTAGGAGCTGGGGAGCGTTGGAACTCCAGCTGGAACAATGTGAGGGAATTCCTGGGTAAGGATCCTAGGAGTGGACAGGCTAACAGAGCTTCTAGGCCGGAAACTAGGAACTCAAGAGAGCAACATAGACTTACAGGATTCCCTAGCTAAATTCTGTATTCTGGGGAGCTAAGACAGTGATTTCAGCTCAGAAATAAAGTCAGCAGAGAAAGGCCTGGCAAGGAAAAGCAGAAGCACTATTCTCTCTCTCTCTCTCACACACACACACACACACACACAGAGAGAGAGAGAGAGAGAGAGAGAGAGAGAGAGAGAGAGAGAGAGAGAGAGAGAGAGAGAGAGAGAGAGAGAGAGAGAGAGAGAGAGAGAGAGCGAGCGCAAGAAGATTCATCTCAGAACAAATAATACCGGGTGTCTTTTTAAGTGGTTTTTGGCTAGGCTGACTAAAATGTTCTGGCTCCTTGTTAGTCATGTGTCCACTTAACCTGTTCTGTCCTGATTATAATCCTGCCACCTGCCTAATCCAGCCTGGGGCACCTGATTAAACAGAAAGAAGATGGCCAGATTCTATTTGGAAAAATGCAGAACATATAGAGTGTTTGCTGTCACAGACTTCCAAGCAATCCTTTTAGTACAAAAACATACGAAGGTGATCTAATCCAGATGTCCTCTCTACAGGATGGCCATCCTATGAGATAACTCTTTGGCTGGGCCCTTCTATGCAAGGATGATAGGAGTCATTTAGAACTGTGTTGCTGTCATTTCTTCTTGGGTCTTGATTCATTTGATACCAGAGACTGCTTCTTCACAGTCACTGTTTTTAACCTAATCTTGTCCTTGGTCCAACAAATTTTCCATTTAAAACAGTATGTGGTAAACATGCGCATGCCTTGGCAACAGTGAGACTTTGCTGGAACGTTTTACAAACCTGACCAGTTTTGGTAATCTCCACGTAAAATTTTGGTGGGGAAATCCACTAAAAACCTCTTTAAATATGCTGTAAATGATAACTCTTATACTGTAAGTAGATCTTGATTGTCACACCAAAAAAAGTGATGTTAGTCCACCGAATACATTGCTTTGGAAAAGTAACTTTCTCATGCTGTACAGTTTTTTAAAAATGTAATGGATTATTGGATTCTGGAAAGCATCGTTTTCCAGTTTCTGATACAGCTATGAGAGACAGAGAGAGATTTGTTTTAAAAAGAGTAAAACAGAAATGGTCTGGGGGCTATATTCAGTGGCTGTACTAAATTTTGCAGTTTTTCTGGATTTCTGTCAAGTGTGGCCGTAACCATGGTAGGTTGAGCAGGAAGATCAAAGAGATGTGGTAGCCCCCCATTCCTTTTCACACTTTGTATTTTCCAGCACTGCGGGATGCCACAAAAGTTGTTGAAAGCATAACAGATGAGAAAGTGACTGTTAATGAGCTGAAGAAGACTCTGAGTAGTATGGGAGTGCACTTACCTAATACAACCTTCAACGAGTTGGTCAAATCTACCAAAACTGATGGTATGTTAGACTTAGTTGTTGCACTTCTTCCTCTCTTGGTTCCCTTTCGGTTCCTACTGCTGTATTTAAGAATTGCCTGAAACATGCTAAAAGTAAAAAACCTTTACCAGGGTAACTCATATCCAGCACATAGAAAAGCTAAGTGTGGAATGGTGATGTTTATAAGTTACTGAATAATCTGTTACTGAATACTTCACAAGTCAGTACAACATGCTAACAAATAATTGCCATGTTTTGCTATTGATGCTGCTTCACATATTGGCCCTATTACAGTGTTCAGCCTGAAAGTATGTTGTGTAAGGCTCAAAGGATGATAATGATATATGGAAGCAGGTGAGCCCCTTGCTAACATTCCCTCTAACAAATAATTGCCATGTTTTGCTATTGCTGCTGCTTCACATATTGGCCCTATTATGGTCTTCAGCCTGAAAGTATGTAAGGCTCAAAGGTTGATAGTGATATATGGAAGCAGGTGAGCCCCTCGCCCTCATTCCCCCCAAAGGTTTTGTATGATCTTCATATCTTAAGTGTGAAAGTTTGCAAAAGTACTGCAAACATGTGTAACTGAAGGTGCTTGTGGTGTTTCCATGATCATATGAAGGTCTGCATGACCTCTGGTTGGGGTGGAGGTTAGGGGGCAGCCTTATCTGCATCTGCAGGTGGCTTATGGACCAAGATGGAGGCCACCTCAACCCAACATTTTTAGAGGGGGCAGCCCCTGTCTTCATCCATCACTGTCTCCACCCCCATGTCACCACCACATTTTCGTGTGAAGGTTTGCAAAAGTACTGCAAACATGTGTAACTGAAGGTGCTTGTGGTGTTTCCATGATCATATGAAGGTCTGCATGACCTCTGGTTGGGGTGGAGGTTAGGGGGCAGCCTTATCTGCATCTGCAGGTGGCTTATGGACCAAGATGGAGGCCACCTCAACCCAACATTTTTAGAGGGGGCAGCCCCTGTCTTCATCCAGAACCATCACTGTCTCCATCCCCATGTCACCACCACATTTCTAGGCTGACTACCTTAACAAAACTATTGTTCCCAGTGGGTTTGAAAGTTATAGGTAGAAGCAGCAGTAAGGTAGTGCCTATACTATGATTCTGAGCCAGCAAGACACAATATTGTTAGAATTTCAGCATTCATTTAAACATGCACGCAGACACTTTGATCTCTTCCAGAACTGTACTGTACACTAAATAAATAATGAAACAATATCTGCTTGTTTTTCAGAGGACGGCAGGATTGGTTTCAAAGACTTTTTGTTAGCATTGGGTGAAACAGATGCTTTTACCGAACTAGAAGGTATGTTCAGCTTGATCTAGAGCCCGTACTAGTCTTTAGTGGGCCAGACAAGTATAGCATGGTCAGATGCCTCTTGGCCGAGGTGGTGATTTTACGGGGACATAGCAGTCATTAGTTTCAGTACCTTTTCCCCTCACAATGCCAGCCACATTCCAGAGTCTAATCAAGAGAAGAAAGAAGTAGGGTTTCAGGGCTCAACTGAAATGTGCGCTGTCATGGCAGATGTTTCTGAATTAAGAAGACAAAAAGACCATTTTAACTGGGGTATGTAGCACTCAACCCGTGTGCCACATGTGGTCCTGCCTCCAAATCTGAGCAGGCTGACAACATAAAAACAAACAACTGCATTTCCCTTTGAAAACAAGTCACACAAGGAGTCGGAGCCTTGCTTTGAAGTAAAATCATGGTCGCAGAAGCCTCCATGGTATTAAATGGCCAAAACTTTCAATTTGGATGTTACTTATGTTTAAAAAGTCCAGAGTTATTAAACTGGATAAACCATGAGGGCCAGCTGTAATCCCATTATTCACAATGCTTGTTGAATAGCTGTTTAACATTTCACAGCAGCATTCTATTTATTTGCTTGTATTTTATATATAACCTGCCTTTCTCCCTGTAGAACTTTATCATGACCCTGGGGAAGCAATAGTTCTATCCTGTCTGTATGGAAGTACAAAAGAGGACAACTGGCTTCCTAAATGATAGCATAACCATTATGACTATAACTGCTGGTTGGATAATTGGTGATATGCATTAATAACTTTTGTTAAGCACTTCTTGATGCAAGTAACCTTTACTCTATTAGATATTTGTTAGCTATTGGTATTGCTTATATACCACCCTATAATACGTAAAGCACTGTCTGGATAGTTTACAACTAAATTATGCAGGCTACACATTCCTCCACCACCACCACCACCACCCCAGCAAGCTGGGTACTCAATTTACTGATCTTGGAAGGATGAAAAATCGAGTAAACCTTGAGCCAGCTACCTAGGTTTGAACCCGGGGTGTGAGCAGAGTTTTGACTGCAGTACTGCAGTGTAGCCACTGCACTATGGGGCTTCATAACATCATGTTGCTCTGTGGTTCATTTTAGTGCAAGACTACACATAGCCCTCTCTCCAGATGTGCTACTTCTGCATGGTGCCCTGGTGGTGGCAGATTAGATAAATATGTGGGTAAACTCCCATTTAGATATAGTGCACGTCTATGTTTTCTTTGCAGCATTAAAAACAATATTTCTTTACTTTGCTACTCCAGCTTTGCAGCATGTGATCACCATCACTGGCACAATGCATGGCAGTCAGCAACAAATGCATGAAGTACAGAACACTCTTGGTAATCTGGGCATCCATTTGACAAATGAAGAGTTCCAACAAATTGTGGATGCCATCGATATAGATTGTGAGTTTTGTTCACTAGGTGATTCAGTGTGCATTTTGATTCAGTGTCATCAATCTCTCCTGTGTCATAAAGAAAACATTGTGGGTTGGATCCAACCATTATGGGTTGGCATTAGTCAGATTTGGAATGCATGCATTGAAATCAATGGGACTTAAAACAATCATGAATAACTCTGGTCCTATTGATTTTAATGGGTCTACTACAAGGATGATTAGGGTTGGATCTAAGCCTTGAATCCAGTAGGCAGAGCTAGAAAGGATGGGAATGGGTGGGTGGGTGGACAGACAGATGGATGGATGGACAGTCAGTTGGATGGTCGGTCACCTCTGCAACTTCCTCAGCATCATTTTGCCAATAATTCAGGGATCCAATGAAACAAGGAGAAATGGTGAAATTAGGAAGCACTCTTGTCATTCTCATTTGGCTTTGTGACATCTTCACTAGTAAAATTAGATTGGCTGCGTGATATCACCATGATGGACAGGATCATGTAACTAAACCGGCATAGATGAAATCTGCAGCATAGATGAAATCTGCATCAAGCTAATGCTAAGAGAAGTGACAGGAAGAAGTAAAATAATGGGGGAAACTCACACAAAGTGTTGCCATTTTTCAGAGATCTCTGCAATGTCCCTTTTTTGCACAGAAATGTTTGTGCATATAAATTCAGTTAATTGCTAATAATGTCTCCTAATGACTGGTTTTTCTTTAGAAGCAATCCTTTAAAAATGACTTGTGTAAATGACTCCTTAAAAACATTTTTAATCTTTTTCTTTTAAAAGAGAACTTGGGGTGGAGAGAGAGAGAATTAGTAGTAAGGCAGATCAGGAAGACAGTAAGCAGGCCAAAACCAACAAATGGCTCATGCAGAGCAGGTGACTGGTGGCCTCTTGCAGTGATAATAACTGGTACTGGATTGGATAGTTTATGTCCTCAAATAAGAAGATTCCAGCTTATTATGCAAGCTTCCCATCTGGAACCGTCTGCACTTATGTTGTCTTATCAGCAGTCCCAGGGATACAGGGAAACAGCGTTTGATGATCTGTATAGTACAAGGCTTAGTGCCTGATAGCGCTAGTATGGTAACCATTTTTAATTAATGTGCTATTTCCCTAGCAGGAAAAGATTAAAAAATATAGAAAAGAAAGGTGTAGATGTGGCTTTCTATAGTATTTTAACTCTCTTTCGCCTAAGGGTAAGCTAGTGGATCCCTTCTTAACTGTTCCTTCTTATATTATCTCTTCTTCCCAGCTGGTGGCATGATAAACCTGAAGGAATTTCTGCTGGCACTGTCAAAGACGCAGCGCTTCATGGATTCTATGGGTGAGCTTTTAACAACAATGGGAAGAAAAAGAAAACTGATAGTTGTAGGTTTTTCGGGCTGTTTGGCCATGTTCCAAAGATTTTTCTTCCTAAAGTTTCACCAATCTCTGTGGCTGGCATCTTCAGAGGAGGAGTTAGAACTCTGTCTGGACATGACATCCTATTTCAAAATACAGAAGTACTGGAGAACACCAGCAATCATTATGTTAGACGAAGTAAAACCTTTGGAAAACGGCCAAACAGCCTGAAAAAACCTACAACAACCATCGGATCCTGGCCGTGAAAGCCTGCGAGAATACAAGAAGACAACTCCAGGACAGGCATGGCCAGACTCATTGGTCTTGAGAGCTGCCTTCAGGATGTGCTGGGAGACCTGAGGCTGCACGTATGAATATAGTCATAAACCTATACATTGGTGCCTCACTAGACAATGATAATCCGTTCCACTGAAATTGCTGTTTAGCAAAATCATTGTCTAGCGAAAAGCATTTCCCCATTGGAATGCATTGAAACCTGTTTAATGCGTTCCAATCGGGAAGAATCGTCATTGTCTAGCTAAGATCAGCCATAGGAAATCTGCTTTGCGAACCGCTGATCAGCTGTTTAAATCGCTGTCTTGCGAAGCTTAGGTCCCGAAAACACCTGTTTTGCGAGCACGGAAGAAGCTGTCAAAATCGTCGTCTAGCAAAAATTGGTTTGTGAAGCAGGGACCAAACATTGTCCAGCGAAATTCCCTCATAGGAATCACTGTTTTGCGAATCGCTATAGTGATCGCAAAAAATCAATGTCTAGCGAAAAAACTGTCATGTGGGGTAACTGTCTAGCGAGGCACCACTGTATATGTACACACATGCACATAGATGAATAGATAGATGGATGGACAGACATACAGACAACCCTGCCCAACATAAATCTGTCTCATACTACTTTGACTTAATGCACTGCTATTTAACAGGGGAAGGAAGAAAATGGAATGGCACCAAAAGAGGTTTTGAGGAACCATGTGTGTATATGAGGGAAATCACTTTCCCTGACCCCCTGTAGATGAATAGGGGGAGCGCTTAAGAGCTGATATGGCTACAAGGGGTCATTTGCTGTTCAGATAGCAGGATCATGTCAAATGACGTATCAGTCCTCCCCCGCCCCGCTCAACCTCAACAGACCTTTTGTATCCTGATCCATCCCACAGCCAAAATGGACAGTCTGGAAAGGCCACAACTGGGGGAAATGGAATCCTTCCACTGGAAAGACAGATTCATTCTGGGTGAAACCTTAATTCCTATGAAATATGCATCTCACACCATACTGATGTCACATTCAGGGTGTATGTTTGCTCTCTTTCACGGCAGCCCTTCACTCTGCTATTGAGGCCTTTGGCAGGATCAAGAGTGAGAAAGTTGACACTCGAGAACTGGAGACCATTGTGAGTAATCTGGGCATTAATTTGAGCAACCCAGAATTCCAAAAGGCCCTTAAAAACACCTCTGTAGATGGTAAGTACTGCAGTTGTTGTTGTTGTTGTTGTTGTTGTTGTTGTTGTTGTTGTTGTTGTTGTTGTTGTTGTTGTTGTTGTTGTTGTTGTTGTTGTTGTTGTTGTTTTTCCTGATTCTCACAGTGCAAATCCTTGCTGGAAATAGTGAGTTAGCTTTATATCTGCTTAGTGTATGATTCCAACAAAGCTATGAGCCACACGATGCTGAACAAACAGCCTAGAGGAGAATGACCAAGAGTTCAGTAGCTAGAGGGGAATTTCTAATTTCCAGGCAGCCAAAGCTAAGCAGCAAGCAAACTCTCTCAGTGCAAACTTTTGAGAAAGAGAGAGATTTGTTTAGCATTTGTTAGATTTGTTTGATTTCAATGGGACCCTTAATTAAGGAAGCCATTAAGGAGTGCCTAAGCCATGATCCTTGGCTCAGAGTTAGCTGTAATTTAAATAGATATCCAAATCAGGCATGAAAAGAATTTAGTTGGATATCACAGTCTCAGTGAGCCTTTTCATGTCTCATGACAAGAAGAAATGCACCTCACCTTGACAATTCGCATGTTTGCACAATTCACGGAGAAAACTGAATTTTCACAGAATACAGACATTTGAAATTTCAAACAGCTAAAAACATGTGCAGCTGAAGAAATACATACAAACACTCTCAGTCAATAGAACAGCAATACATGCATGAAATAAATGCATGAATACATTCTTTTTTCAGAAGGTGGAAGGGCAAATTTCAAGGAATTCTTGGTCAATGTGATGGACAATGAGCGTTTCTATGAATTATCAGGTGAGTGCGATTTGCTTTGGGCTGGCACTTGAGAGGATCCAGAAGCAAAAACTTGTCAGGTAAGCTAAATATCAAGGGTCGGAATTGAAGATCAAATATTCCTAAGAGGTCTGGGAAACAAAGCATATCAGGAGAGTCATAGCTGTTTTTCTCAGCAGGATGGCAGGGATGTCATGTGTGGATAGTTTGTGAACTGGGACAATTGGGTGTCTCCACCTAGGATTTGAAGGGTCACCCCCTTCCCTACTAAAGAGCCATCACTGATATAATAGGACACTTAAGCCTCATTCCATTCCTTAAAAATGATGGAAAGAATTTAGATAGGGATGATGTTAAAGCCTCCCTTACATTCTGAGCAATTCTGCTGTTGATTGCTGGTATAGGAGAGACCTAAATGTCCTCCACTCCAGCAGTGCTATGTAGGATCACTAGGAATGGGAACAATTGCATTTTTACACATCTCCTTGCAGTCTTCATCTGGATGTACACAGGTGGATGTTGTGCATAAACTTACTGTAAGTCTCTAATCAGGACAGGACCCAACATCTGGAGGAAAACGCACCAGCTATTGGAAGAAACAGAAATAACTTTGTGCTGTAGAATAACACCGTGCTTTCCTCTTTGCAGCTATTCATGATGTCTACACCCTTGTCAGCAGAGTGAAAAATGACAAAGTCGAAGTTTCTCACCTGGAGGATGTGCTGGCTGCCATTGGCATCACATTGAACAAGGAGGAAATGAAGGACGTGATGAAGAACATCATGGTGGATGGTAAGAAACCTTGATACATGATGGATTTGAATGGGCAGAAATTCCATGTGAGGTAGGTTCTGTCAAGTCAGTTTGTGTGGCTGAGGCTACAGGTTAGAAAACTGTCCTGTATTTTAAAAAATCCACCCTTGTATTACTAATAGAGAGATTGCACAGCAGTGTGACAGCTAGGCTCGAAAATTTCTATTTCAACTTTTCAATTTACTCACATGCAGCAGCGGCGGGAGGCAATATGGAGGAACTCTGAAAAATGTTATTTCTTATAACCTATCCACCTCTAGGAGGTGTTATGCACAATTCCTCTGCACAGATGAACCTGTTCTTAGGTAAAGGTAAAGGTAAAGGTTCCCCTTGACAATTTTTTGTCTAGTCGTGTTCGACTCTAGGGGGCGGTGCTCATCGCCGTTTCCAAGCCATAGAGCCAGCGTTTTGTCCGAAGACAATCTTCCGTGGTCACATGGCCAGTGCGACTTAGACACGGAACGCTGTTACTTTCCCACCAAGGTGGTCCCTATTTATCTACCAGTTCTGCTCCAACGGAGTAATTTCATAGCTCACTTTGCTGCCCCATCCCTTCTTGGTCTGCAGTCAAGGCCCTGATTTAGAGCATGTGAGTAGCCCACCTTTCTTCTTACAAGAAAGGCTCAAGGATGGGCAACCTTGTCCTGCCAGATGGACGCCATCAGTTTGCTGCTTCTACCTGCTCTTGATGCTGCCTCCATTTCTGAAGGTTCTCTTGGTTTGCCTGGAGCAGAGAACGGTGAGCTGTGGAGATAAACCACTCAGGATTCGTTCCTCACTCTAAACCTGCTGCCTTCTCAAGCCAAGTATCTTACAAGGTGGTAATTTCAGGACAGTGTTTATGTTTGAATCGTATGAATAATAAAGTCAGCAGTAAGAGCTACCTCTTCTCCTGATATCTAATCCACTTCTAGGGTGGTCCTGCCAAGGTGGTGGTAAGAGAGCATCTGAGTGTACAGTATGGAATTTGGAATCCTTGTGCCTGGGATGCTCATAGCAGCTACCCAGATGCAAAAAAACTGGCATACAGTATCTGGATGTCAATATTGTTGACATCCATGATAAAGACTCTGGATGCCCTTACAAACTATCTATTTCCTGGGTCCTTGGTTCCTGAGACACTAGCATTTCATCATTCAGGGTGTCAGGACAGGAGGAGTGGAGATCAGTGCCTTAAGCCAGTGGTTCTTAACCTTTGTTACTCGGATGTTTTTGAACTGCAACTCCCAGAAACCCCAGCCAGCACAGTTGGTGGTGAAGGCTTCTGGGAGTTGCAGACCAAAACTCTTGAGTAACCCAAGGTTAAGAACCAATGCCTTAAGCAAAAACTGTCATTGTGAGCCAGGTATATAGGAAGGGAACTGGGCCTAGATAACAAAATTCCAAATCAGGCTAAAGGCAGCTTGCTCATCACTTAGCTTTTCGGCTGCAATTTGGCCAGTGCAACTGTCCTCAGAAAGAGGTCATCTATTTCTAGTGAGTAAAATGAATTGATAGATCTACTCGGATCACCCACATGAGCCAGGAGGTGAGGCTGAGGAGCCTAATGCCGAGGGAGGCCCGAAAGGAAAGGACACGAAACCGGGCCTTCTCGGCGGTGGCTCCTCGCCTCTGGAATAACCTTCCTCTGGTTATTCGTGCGGCCCCTAGACTGGGCACTTTTAAGAGTCAACTAAAAACATGGTTGTATGTTCAGGCCTTCCCTCCTGTCAGTATTTAATTCTTTCTTTATTTTTTCTTTCATTTATTATTTGTTTTATTATTGTATGTGTTATGGACTGTTTGTAAAATTCTTATGTTTTCGTATACACCTTATTGGAAGCCGCCCAGAGTGGTTGACCAGACCAGATGGGCGGGATATAAATCAAATAAATAAATAAAAATAGTTATTAATAATGATAGTCTACAACTTTTAACCTGGCAACAGCCAAACACTATTAACATGGTAACCTAATGCAATTAAATCCTAATTATTTTAACACCTGATCAAAACTTCTGTAGTTTATAGAGCTTTATTAATTGCAAATACCTTTAGCTGGTCTGTTTTTCCAGGGCTTTAATCAGCAGTGAATGCATGTAAAGTCTAGGCCACAGCCAGGAGAAGGAGAAAGCATTACGAAAACAGAAACAGGAAAGTGAGGAGTCTTCTGTTTTAAATTCCCAAGCTGCAGCATGAAACTGACCCTATCAAATCAGAGTGGCAAAAACAGAATGAGGCAAGCTAAGAGGAAGTTGGTGACTGAAAGAGAAGAGGGGACTAGAGCTGGCTGGAAGCAGATGAAGAATGAAGCCGTGTTAGGCTGGGCAAGCACATCAGGCAAAATCCAAAGAAACAAAACTAAACTAAAGAAAACATGTGGCACTTAAAGACTATTATATTTTACAACAGTACCCTCAAACAACATGCTATACCTGTTGCACTATAAATCCCATCATTCCCAGATAGCAGCTGAATTGTGGCATTTATACTCCAAGATGTTTAGAAAATGTCATGTTGGGGAAGCCACCTACTTGACAAAAAGTCAGTATGAAGAATGGTACTGGCCTTCTAAGATTTCTTTTAAAAATAAACTGCATTTCACTTGATTAATTAAAAACTCTACTCACTAATGTTAATCTGAATTCAATGGGGGTTTGGGGCTCTCAAAGTAAAATCCAGTCCTAGAAAAGCACAGATGGGCACCTCCCTTCACACCACATTTTGAGAGCCAGTGTGGTATAGTGGATGGCTATTTAGGAGGCACAGTCAGAATGTCGATCAGCTCAACAAATGCTGAGTATGGGTTCCTTCCCTTGAACACAGTGCAAAACAAACATTTTGAAATATGAAAGGGAAGGATGCCTCCAATCTTAATTTAGAAAAGTAACTTGCCTACAGTATGTTGGAATCTACATTCTAGCAGCGAGTAAGAATCAGGACTAACTCCATAGCAGGTGGAATTTGCTAAATGGATAGGGATTTGAACCTCATCAGAGACCACCTGCACACATGATAAGATTGTATGGTGCTAGTGGCCCACTGGTTCTCCCCTCCCATAAACTGAAATGTTTTGCCTTGTTTGTATTTATTGATGTGGCCTTGGATGCATCACCAAAGGCTGTAGACCTAAACTATCTTTTGGTGGTTTCTTTGTCATCTGTTTCTGTCTTGTTTTGTATTGCAGAGGATGGAAAGGTGACTCTGAAAGAATTCGTGAATGTGTTGCTTCAGACCCAACAATTCTCCACAGCTGTAGGCAAGTTCAAAGCTTGCTGCTTCTGTCACCTTTATCTCTTGTAAGTCTTGCCTTTGGAGGCTTAATTGGGTCACTTTCTGTCTGTGCAGAAATGGAAGGAGCTCTCAAAGCAATGCAAAGCATCAAGCAGGACAAGGTGAACATTGAAGACTTGGACTCCATCATGTACACAATGGGCCTCAATTTATCTCCAAATGAAATCCAGCAGGCATTGAAGTATGTTGTGCAGAATGGTAAGAATTGACCTTAGGCATCTGTGAAATTTCCCCCAAAATTTACAACTCACACCATAATCTCAGAGGAAGAGAGTAAATCTGGCTACTCTGCTTTCCAATGTTACCACCTTTACTTAACTACTAACAGATGAATGAACTAAAGGTTTAGTTGATCAATGAATAAAAGCCAATTTTAATTACAGAGTCAAGTCAGTAAACTTCTACATGTTTAAGTCATTTTGCTTTTGTTATGTTAGCATAAAAGAGAAATGAAAACCAATATAGTAAATAAATATGGCATCTCCTTCAATGAATCAGCTAGCCAGTAGAAAGGAAGATGATTAATTAGTTATGACGTTAATTAATTAGTTCAGAGCTCTACATCATTTTGCATCTTCTAATTGGAAATTGATTAACTAATGTATTCCTTTGCAGTGGATGGGACAGTAAGTCTGAGAGACTTCATGTTTGGTGTGACCAAGACTCAGCGCTTTTCCAAAGCTGAAAGTAAGTGAAAATAGAGCTGCACCTTGAAAAGGTGGTGGAAGTCACCATGCCCAATAGGTGACAAAAGACAGATAAAAAGACTAGCAATAATCAAAAGAGATAACATTGGAGTGTCCCAAATGTCTGTCTGGACCCTTCCCATGGAAGAAGAAACATTTCCATGTTATGTGAATTGAAATGCCTCTGTGTGCATCTTCTCTCCCTCTATTTATAATTCTTTCAGTGGTTCACATGTCCCCCTGCCACCAATTTGTAAATAATATTTTTCCAAGGACCTGAAGATCCAAAAGCTTGGAACTCCAAGAATAATTGTTCAATGGGAAATCGTATTGTTTCTGCAGTCTTTATAACTCCAAAAATTATAATCACCAGAAGAGTACACTATAGGACTTACAAATGATAATTATTTAGACATTGTAACATAAATAAATTAATTATAACATAAACAAGTTCAGCTGTCAGGAATGTTATGATACAGTGAAAGCTAGCTAATTGTTGTAGTGTGACTATAGTAAACTATTATTCAAGCCTTAATTTTAAGAGCACATTTTCTATACCTCCCTTAATTAATTTTATTTAAACACTTTATACAACGAATTCTTGGAACTCCAAGAATAATTGTTCAATGGGAAATCGTATTGTTTCTGCAGTCTTTATAACTCCAGAAATTATAATCACCAAAAGAGTGCACTATAGGACTTACAAATAATAATTATTTAGACATAGTAACATAAATAAATTAATTATAACATAAACAAGTTCAGCTGACAGGAATGTTATGATACAGTGAAAGCTGGCTAATTGTTGTAACGTGACTATAGTAAATTATTATTCAAGATTTAATTTTAAGAGCACGTTTTCTATACCTCCCTTAATTATTTTAATTATTTAAACACTTCATACAAAGAAATTTTAAACTTTGACAGTATGCAACAGCTGTCCCTCCTATAGGTGCATCTTTGATGCAAAGAGGATAGAAATAACATGTGTGTTTATGAATGTTTACCCATTATAAGCCTAAATTTTGCTTCTATTTCTACTATACTAGTAAAGTAATGAGTAGAAACCACAGCTTACTTTGAGAAAAAAATTGGCTCCTTGGCATGTTTTTCACTGAGAGCCTCAGCTATGCAAATTGTGATAATTATCTCCTCCTGTCTAAGTTGCCCAAGGAAATATGGTTCCTATAGCAGATGTAGATTCATGTTTATCCAACATGGGGGTCCACCTAACCAAAGAGCAGCTTCAAGAAGCTTTGAAACATGTGAATATGGATGGTAAGTATGCCTGAGGAAAAAAGTCTTTCTGTTAAAACACGTAATATCTTAATTCCAGAAATCCTAGATTATTATTTTGCTGAAGCAGCCTGTGTCTGCACTTTGCATGCTGGTCATTAAATAATCTCGTTATTTGCTGCTACCTCATCGTCCATTTCTCCATCCTAAAAATGGATGTAACACTGTCTCACCTTATGGCTTTCTGAAGGCCAATAGGGTAACACCAGGTAAAATTCAAAGTCTATATACCTTCAGCCTCCCTTCATGGATATCCTTGGCCAGTTTTTGCAGGTGCTTAAATTGTGTTTCATGCAGCTGGGCCAGGATTGGTTCTGTAGCAGGGACAGTATCCTTCCTTTTACCCTCTAATGTGACCCTCATTCTGGGTCCATTCTCCTCAGATTCTCATGGATCCTTTGTGGTGAGTCCCTGCAGCAAAGAGTGAAGGTGAATGAAGCCCAATGGAGGACTAGAGCTGCATATAGGGTGTGACCTAGCTCCTCTTTACTCCACTCTGGATTGAAGGGCACCAAGATTAATAAATGAAGGGCCCCTGGGTTCTTGCCTGTCTCTAACACATTAATCAATCAGCCAGAGACAGAGAGATCCAATAGATATTTTACTTTCAGCTGAAAATAGGTGCAAACCACACACAAAAAACATGCAGAGAAGAAGCGTGGCCCCAATACAAAAGTATACATTTTTATAAGGCATAACATGAAAGAGTGACCAAGGGGGTTGAGAAGAGATGGAGAAATAGGAGGGGTTTCCATAATTCGTACACATTCCTGCCTGAACCCAGCTTTGAGCAGTAAATCATTCCCCATGTCTACCATCCAGCTTCCCAAGGACAGACTTTTAATTAGGCCAGTTACTTACAAGTAATGGAATGCCGGCGGCCTCTCTCCTTTATGTTTTTATCTAGTAGTCAGAAACTTAATCATGCAGCAAAGCAGTTACAGAAAGTAAAATGGCTGTGGTTAGGCTAAGATATCTTTTATATTTTATATGTATTAATTGGACCTCTTCATCATCATCAGCCCAATCTTCACTCTCACTCTCTTCCTTTTCCATGCCAACTACCCTCAAGCTCCTTTTATTGTCCTTTTGGTCAGGAAATTTCTTGGGGGAGGGGAGCTTTCCACCTTCCTTGTCTTTTTGCCCCTTCTGGTCTTTCAGTGTTTTGGTACCAGATCTTGATAGATATTACTGCCATTTCTATTTGGTAGGCTTAAGAATTGGAAAATTATTTCTATTGCACACATATTCCTACCCTAGTTGTTTTTTGCATTGCTGATTGCTTGTCAGTTCCATCTCTGTCTTTATCTTATGCCAGTATTTTCTTCCTGCAGAAAACGGGAAAGTGAATATGACTGAATTGCTGGGGAGTGTGATGAAAACACGGAGACCATCTCGAGCTGATAGTAAGTGGGTTTCATTTGTTGAGTTACAAACTGGTTCAGCTGAGCTGGTAGTATTTGAGAAGAGCATTAATGTCCGGCAGATCTAAAAAGCAGGGACAGGAATTAGATAACAAGGAACAAATTGGCATGAAAAGAAATGTGATAAATGAAGGGTAGTATACTTTGTGTATGTCATCACGTTGCAGGAGAGCTGCAGGACTCAGCTTCTCAGCAAGCTTTAAATAAGTGTATATAACAGGGTTTCTAACCCCTGTGGCTGTGACATTATGTTTGATGGCCAACACCTCTTGACAACCTAGAAGCCAGAATGGTGATAGGGAGTGAAGATACTGAAGTCCTATATAGCTCTTTGCACTCCTTTTCTTCAGCAGCCCCCTCCCACAAAGCAGGACAATTAAAATGTACAACAAACCTCACACAGCAACAGAAAATATGTACATTTGCACACAGTAGTCCACACTTCTTAACATGGAATGTGTATTTAACATATGAATTTCTAGCTTTGTTTATTTATTTGTTTAGCATTGAAGAGACACAGCCCCAAGATGCTATACTAATGTTGAGGTGTGGATTAAGTTCAAAAATATCCAGGACTAAACCAAGTTCTTGCATAAAATAATAATACTGTCTATCAAATACAATGATGTTAAAATGAATGTAGTGAATAATCAGTACAAAGAAAGCGTACACATCCCTTTGCAAGGCGTGCTAGATGAGCTCCCAAAATCCATCTTTGACACTGTAACTTTGAGATGATAGGTTGCCAAGTCCATTGCGAACTGCTTGCCTCAGTCAGAAGGCTGAGAAATAATTAACTAAGGGTATGGTTACGCTAGGGAGAAAACCCATATTTGAAATGAGTTTAGGATGTTTTAAATCCATTTCTTAAAAGGTGCAACAAGTATTAAAAATACTACTGCAGCAGCAATGGTGAGTGGCCAGCACGAGGGTGGGCAGGTGGGTGCAGGACAAATCCCTGGTTCCAATAATTTTAAACCCCTGCGTACCTCCTCAACCAATATACAACACAGCTTAAAAACAGATTAAAAGTTTTTCCCAAGAGGATGCACACCCCAACCCAAATACCATGTGACTGTCACATCAAAAAGCCTGATCCATCTCCCAATTTATTTTCATATTGTAACTGTACCCAAACTTGGACTTTATACCTTGTCCTTCACCACTGCAGGTACTGGCAAGCAGCAGGGAGAAGGGAGGAAAGGAAGCTTGTTAAGAAGCCACCTCCTTTTCCCTGGTGCTTTGCATGCCTCTTTATGGGAAGTTACAATAAACTAACTCTTTATCACCATAATGAGTGAATGCAAGCCTAACAAAGTAGAAAGTTTATGGGAGCTGGTACAAGCCTATATCATGTTTTCAGCGTGGCTGCCTGCCACTTATACTTACTGTAGGCTACTCATTATACATGGAACTATATACTTCTGTTTTGGCTGCAGCATGGCCACTGTAAGTAATCCATATGCTCCATTTTTGACACTACTCTCTAGTAAAAAAAACCATTACAGTAGCCTTAAGTGATTTTATAACCAAGCAGGATATCCAGAAGTCTGGATGTGAATATTTTTTCATTTATCATGTATCTTTTAGTGGGTCAGGTAAATGTCCACGATCTAGATGGTGTTTTGGCCAACATGGGGATTTACCTAACAGATAACGAAGTTCAGCAAGCTTTGGAATATGCAGCTGTAGATGGTGAGTCTTTTAAACACTTGTTCTTATGCTTCTTGATTTTAGAGTATCCCATTGAAGGGAGAGACAACGATTCCTCTTAATGTTCCTTAAGGTGTTCTTTTTCACAGATTCTGGCTGAAGCCCAAACAAAATTTTTATTGTGCAATCACTTATCCTGATTTACTCCAAGGGTCAAATGATACCTTACAGAAAATAGGGAGTCAGAAGACGAAAATCCTTAAATGCCTAGGACATCTGATTGTCATGGAACAATCTTTTTCAGTCCTCCCTTGATTTACAAATTAGCTAACTGTGTTTTGTTTTGCTGTTGATATTCTGGGTGTAAACATGAGCTTCATTTATAAGTCTTCAAACAGAGGGCTGCCAGAATCACATCTCTGAAACAAATTTTCTACTGAATTCAGCTGGAACAACTTGTTATTTATTACAAATATAGTTTGGTCCTTGATGTGGTTTACCTCGGTCTGTAAGCTTGTTTACATTTTCCTTCAACTTCTTGAAGCTTGTTCTTTCTATTTCATAGGGAAAAACATAAAAGCTGCACAACCTTTTTTTAATGATAGCACTGAAAGCCCTTTGTCTGGAAAATCTCTGTTTCTGTAATTATGTAAAAAAATAAATAAAATAACACATACAGTACATGCTTTCATTTTTTCAAATAAATAAAGGGAAGTCATGGAGTTTCAGTGAAGAATGGGCAGATACTGTATACCTGTCCTCATTTCCCCCTGGTCCATGTTTTCCTTCATTGTGATTCTAATGGACCCGACCTGTTTCTTTAGGAAGCTCCTTAGGAAAAGATAAAGGTAACAGCCCTCGCCCTTTGTTTATCCCTAGTCTCTGGTGTTTATAAGAGAGCTTCAGGGAAATATATATATTTAGTACCACTCTCAGACTGCCAAAACTAGCATGCCACGTGTTGTCTGGGAGATTTGGGGAGTTATTACTTAAAAAGTAACTTTCCAAGCTTTGATTCAGGAAACATTGCCTCTGAGCATGGAAGTTCCATTTAGTTATTACAGTCAGCAGCTGTCTCTAATCCATATTTTATCTTCTTTCTCTTTGTTTTCCTCTGAATGCTTCTCTGTTGGATGATAACTGTCATTAATTCGTTTCTTGAGATTTCCTTCTTTAGCAAACTTTTTCCTAAATGACCTTCCTATGTGTTTTCCTTGTTTGGACATTCATTGCCACTTTACTTTCAGATAAGATTGCCAATTGCTTTAAAAAAAATCCCTTTGTCAGCTTGCTCTTTTGACCTGCAGCTGAAGATTTTCCATTATTCAGTGGTGGTCTGTGGTTTATCTTCTCCTTGCACCACCCCCAGCATGTCATAATAATAAAAAAATCCATGCGCTATCAAGGAAAATCGGACTCATGGTGATCCTTTTCAGAGTCTTCTAGGTAGAGAATACTCAGAAGGGGTTTACCATTCCTTTCTTCTGGGGGCACCTGGGGACTGTGCAGCTTGCCCAAGACCACACAGGCTGACTCTTCATGGATGCAGAGTGGGGAACTGAACCCCCAGTCCCTGGCTCTGCAGCTAGATACCTAACTCACTGAGCTATTCAGCCAGCCGAACCTATGTCGTACCATTTCCAAAACAAAACGTACAAACATACTGTATATTAGTCTAACACTGTTCTACTTTTTCGTTGTTTTGCATTCTGGGCCCTCCCTATTCCTAAAATGAAGTCTTAAGCTTTTTATTTAATGTGCATTTATTTTATATCACATCGTCTGCATGCAGATGGCTATCTTGCATACTGGAAGTGTCATATGCCGCCTTCACATTCCATGCAGCTTCTAGTGTGCCCCTTTCTGGCTAAAACAATAGCAGTGGCAGGTCTCAGTCTTTCTTCTTTGACTTGCACCTTTTTCCTCTTCTTGTCTTCCAGAGGATGGTAAAGTCAACCTAAATGACTTTGTGAAGGGGGTGAAGACAATACCACTTATAGCAGGGGCAGAAGGTAAGTCTCAGCTGTGGTGTTGTAATGCTGACAGGCTGAGTAGTACAGAGTTCTGCTGTTCGGTCTCAGGAGTTTTGTTATGTCTTACTTAGGGTACCCAGGAAAGCAGTAAAATCTCAGAGGTAAGAGAGGAATGGAACGATGGGGCAAACTTACACAGCTTGAGGGCTTTTGCTATTCATGTGTACCGGGCTCATCTCCTGAGACATGACAAGGCCTGGCTCCTTCCTCTGATGCCTCAGCTAATACTGTACTCTGCTTCTTGGCCTCTTGTTCCAGTAGGCTTCACTTCTCCCACAATCGGCAAAAGATGTTGCAAGTGTTCTGTGAGAAGGGTTTGAACATGCAAGTGCCTCTCTGAGCAGTTGAACAGGACTTTGCCCCACATTGTGAATGCAACTATAGTGCACTGAGAACCAAACTACACAATATGATAGAGAGTGCATATCTCCCTCACAAATGGAGTAGGGTGTGGGATGTGGGTCAGGAGCACTGGCAGAAAGGGTTCAAAGTATACTGTGATTTTACTGAAGGGACAGAAAGCTACTTTGTATGCTATATTTGTGCTTACATTGCATATATTTCCATGGGAAAATGACACTCCCCCCATGCCATTGCCCCAATCTGGATTATACCTCCTACCCAGTGGCTGTTTGCCTCTACTCCTCCACACTCTGGGGACAGTTTTTAACTTCCCAGGATCATTGTGTTCCTTTATGGAGGGACAAAGGGAGGAAGCAGTTTATTTTAAAAGGCTCTTAAGGTAGCACTGATGCACTGTACCTTTCAGAGGGGGGGAAGAATGCTTCTTCTTGGAAGGAGAAGAGAGGAGAGGGCAAGGAAGGGGATTTATTGTTGTTTCCTTCCCCCCCACCCTGGGAGGCAAACAAAAGAGGGTCATTTGAGGTGCAGGAGAATGGTAAATCATTTGTGAATGTTCTCTACCTGGGAAACTCTGAAAAGGATTGTCATAGGTCAGAAATGGTCAGATGTCCCTTCTCTTTGTTGACAAACAGGGTCCTCTAGCAGCTAGAACAGTGAGGTGCTTCCCCTTAGCTCCCACCCCCCGGAGAATGGTAAATCATTTGTGAATGTTCTCTACCTGGGAAACTCTGAAAAGGATTGGCATAGGTCAGAAATGACTTGATGGCACATTATTATATTATAATTTTAAGGTAACAGTATAGTCTCAGGATTAGAAACTGTGAAACTGTCCTGTGATTCTGGAAAAGGGCTGCTACTCTAAATTCATAGATGTCCCTTCTCTTTGTTGACAAACAGGGTCCTCTAGCAGCTAGAACAGTGAGGTGCTTCCCCTTAGCTCCCAGACCAACTCCACTTGGTTAGCAGGAAGCAGGTTTCTGGGACTGATCAGATCTAAGAAAGTTTTAAATTAACTTCAGCAGCTTGTTTCTTTTGTGAGGCAGGAGGACAGCTTTAGGCAGGGACTCAGGTTTGTGTTTGGTTGTTCCCTGTACCCAAACCTTGAAGAAAAGAAAGTTCCCAGGGAGAGAAAGTCTTTCTCATTCTGGAGAACCTTCAAATGCATAGCTTCTCTCCATCTTTCCATCTCAGCTAGAAAGCATCCAGTTTTGAAGTAAAGGAGGCTATTATTTATCTCCATATCTTCCTTGCCATCAAGCGTGAGAGAGGGAGAGGAACTGCTACATGGTGAATTATCACTCACAACTTTCACCTACAACTTGTTTCATTCTGCAGTGCCTTATAATGGCAGATGCCATTTTGAAAATTGTGGAAAAAGCAAGTGACAATGATCACACTCTTCAGTCAGTTTTGAAGTCAGCACTCTGCTCCTGGTTCACTAATTTTTCAAATCTCTTCAGCAGCCACAAGATGGCACCCGATAACAAAATATACAAATGTTAAAAAATGACTGAAGACAACAGAGAACAAGTAGCAAAGAAGCAAAAAAATAGTAATATAGGCAGCAAGGAATAAAACAGGAAGCACAGTATAGAAACAAGTGCATACAAAACCAAAACTAAAACAACAAAATAGCTTGCCAATTTCTAGTAGCATTAAAAAGAGCCAAACTGTATGTTAGAGATAGTCATTAGAAGGTGAAACCATTTATTGTTCAGAGATATAAGTTAGGCAGCTGGGTGGATAGCTCAATGAGTTAGGTATTGAGCTGTAGAGCCACAGGTTGGGTGTTTAATTCCTCACTGTGTCTCCCAGGAGTAGAGGCAGCCTATGTAGCCTTGAGCAAGTTGCACAATCCAAGATGTCCTCAAAATAAGAAAATGGTAAGCCATTTCTCAATATTCTCTACCTAGAAAACTCTCGGAAGGGTCACCATACATCAGAATTGGCAATACACAATTAATTAATAATTAATAATTTAGGCAGACCTTTGTGAAACTATAAGGTTTCTGTTTTTACAGTGGCTAGATGAACAGAGGTTTGCATTCATTATCTACAGATAACAGACTGTTCATCAGATTCCCTTTCTTTTCCTTCCTTCCTTCCTTCC